ATCAATAAAGTCTAAAATTATATTAAACATAGTTAAAACAGATATTCCATATACATTTAGCACTTGGACAATAACAAAATCAGATGAAAAAAGTTAAAAATGTTTGGAAGAAAAAACTTTGGTTCAAAGAGATAAAACGACGAAGAATATATAATAAAAAACAATGAAGAATTATTAAAAAAACCATTTTTGATGTTTTGAAAAGTATGAGGTTAAGTTGGATAGAACATGTATGGAGATCAGAAGCGATAATTGGATTATTAACTAATGGGAAACCCTATACTAAGAGACCTATAGGATAGTCTAGGCAAAGATGGATAGACAGAAAACAAGAAGACTTAATATTTTTGATTGTAAGGAACTTAGAAGAACTTACAAAAAGTAGAGAAATGGAGACCATATGTAGTTGCAGTAATGAGGCCTTAAAGACCCGTGAAATTAAAAAGAAGAAATATATGTTAACACAGAATTAACCATTAATTATGAACCACTTAATTGTAAAAAAAAAAATGAATTGAGAATTTTTTTTTTTAGTTTCTTTTAGGTACATTCTTTTTAAATTTATCAATTATGAGATATTTTTTGTATTTATCCGATATATATTATAAGAGTGTCAAATTAATTTTTTTTGATAGTTTTGAAATTGATCTAATACAATGTGATAGTTTTAATGATACCCACTAGAATTCTTTTAAAATAATTTTTTTTTAATATTTCTTTTTAGATTTTGTTATATTTGTATCATTATTTATCTATTATAAAATAATTTTTAGGTCTGTCCCTTAAATATTATTATTTTTTTGAAATAAAATATTTGTATTAAACTGGCTAATGAAATAGATAATTATAATTATATTTAATTAAATAATTATTTAATTGAGAAAATAAGTGGTTATATAATAACATATTTTGAACCTGTACTTTTTCTTCTCTTTTTTATTTATCTAAACTTGAGGTTGCCACTCGTATCCAAAATTTTTACTTGACACGATCTTCCACGTCATTTATGCAATCTGGTTTTATCAACTATACAAATAAAACTTTTTCTTCGGTCTTCCGATTCTTCCTCGAACGTTCATTTCCATAACCGTTCTTATAACTTACGATTTTTTTCTTTTCATAATATAAACAAACCATCTAAATCTATTTTTCTCATTTTATGCACGATTGATGCTACTCCTATACTTCCTTTTACATTTTCATTCCTTACCTATCTTTACTCATCTATTTATGAATTTTTATTTCTAGTACACTTATTAAAATTTTAAAATAAAAATACCATATATATTTTAGAGAAACTAGCAAATGATTCACAAATAAAAGACAAGGGTAACACTACAAATACTACCCAACTTTCAGATCCAGCACCATTACTCGTTGCAATGATATCGTCATTAAAGAGAAATAATGGCAATGATAAAGATAATAAAACTACAGAATTAATTTTAATGTGGCCGTTCCGGTATTGGGTACAAACAGTAATTTACGCATCCCAAATGACTACCCCAGGACCAGTAACGTGTGGAAACATTAGTATACAACAAACACCAAAGAATAAACGAACGAGCTTACTATCATCATCAACGCCTGTTAACTATTATGACACGGGCGATTACAAAGATTTGATTAGATTACCTTATAAATGTGATGCTTCAATATCATACATACATTATTTATGGTTATTTAACATTATAATTATATACTTTTACTAGTATTAGACGCTGTTTCTGTGTATATTTTTCTCAAGAAACATTGTCATTAATATCTGTTAAAGTTCACGTCAAATCTAAGACTAAATGTTTATTTAAATAGATTATAAAAATACAGAAATATTTTTAATAATTTGATATGAGAATTTTTTTGTTAATCTGGCTAATAGTCAGGCTAATTGGCTAATTGACTATGTTTTAAAACCATCTAAAGCAATGCCGGTCAAATTATTTTGTAATTATGTAATGATTTCTGTAAAAATTACAGGGATACCACTCGACTAGGCTTTAAAAATTCTTAATGTGAAGAAATTATAAAAAATTATAAAGTCGTTATTACTACTACGATAAATCTGTAAAAATATTGAAGGGCTTCATACAAATCTTTTCAGAAAATATTTGTTAAATGAATAAATAGTCTACAAGTGATTTTTTTTTATTTAGGTCATATGCGAAACTCTAATTGCAGATTTGAAATCGGTGCAAAAATAGATTTAGAAAAGTATATTTTGGTTTCAGATGAAAATTCCTTGTAGACCATTTATTTATAATTAACAACAAATATTTTTTGAAAAGATTTGTATCAAGCCCTTCAATTTTTATATACGTTTGTCATAATAGTAATAACTACTTTATAATTTTTTGTAATTTCTCCGTAAAAATTATAATATTAAATTATTAAATATCAATTTCATACTATATTTAGTTACTATAATAAATATTTATTCATTTATTATACTTATAAATCAAAGAACTACTAATCAGGAATAATTATTCCTAGCAAAATGAATTCCTCTTTCCTTAATTGATGAAGGGAATAGGATATTATTTTACTTTTGGTATAATCAACGAATTTCTTAAAATTAAACACTATCCTCAGATTTGCATCGAAGCGTTTCTTGTGAAAGTTATTTTAATCACTATCAGGTATCATCTATATTAGTTCTAACCATGCTACATCCACACTGTGACGTGCCCCCCACCCCCGTGCTACTGTTTTTTTTTGTTATTCTTAAAAAAATCTCAGTGTGACTGTTTATTTATGAGAAAAACTTTCCATTTTATTATGACATTCGAACTTATTGTTAACAATACAGAAACACAGTGATCAGACTATAGACCTATCAGATCTTCAGCTTGAACATAATTAGAAGAAATAACTTTGATTACGAAGAAATTTAGAAGATTAAGAATTTTATTTGAATCACTCATCCAATAAGTTGGTTTTTTAATAGAAATAAATAGTTTTATGTAATGTTTCAATAATCTACTTTTAATAGTGCACATTTTGATCCTCAATGAGTGTGTTTGACTTTAGTATCACTGCCAACAATAAAAGAGTTGTCAAGTTATTATTTTCGTTGTATTTGTCGTTTGGACGCTATTATGTGCAATATATGATTCACTTCTTTTTATTATTATTAGAGTTTGATTAGTTACTTTCTAATGTATCAAGTCTACTTGTTAGATTTGTTAAAGATTTTGCAGCTTTCGTTAAAGAGAATACAATTTCCATTAGAGTGGAGTTAGCATTTTCAGGTATTTTTTCATATGAAATTGCTGATGTCATAGTTTTTACAAGTTTCTGCTGTAGACACTGTATCGTAGACGTTTTTTTGGATGTGTTCTTTTTTCTGCTTTCTTAAAAACTGAACAGTCTTTCTATTTTGCGGTGTGGGCTTTTCCACAAGTGGCACATTTCAATTCCAAACAATTTTCTACTTTTTTATTTTTTATTCACATTTTATGTAGATAGATTTTTCGTAGCAATAGGATTTACGCTGTAGCACACATATTTTTTCGAAAATTCTATTTTTATTTTATGATAATATAAACTATATATTTTGTTAATATATTTATTGTTACCTTGTAGTTCAAGGCCTACAAATATTAAGGTTATTTTGTTCTTGTTTTTTCACTATTTTTTTCATTAGGATTTAATCTTTCTATATTTTGTTACGTTGCTATTTAGGGGTTGAGCCTAAATGCCTATCAACAGTATTCCACGGAACCAACGGGGGATACATGGCTAGGCGTTATCTACATTATTGGTACTGAGGTTTCCTATTTAATTTACATTCCTTTAGAGGAATTATTAAGGGCCGCACTACATTATATATTTATATATATAACACTCTTGGTTAACAACGATATAAATATTTATTAAGTAAAGAGATATTAAATAAATAGTATAACCTACTGGACACCTAGATATGATATAATCCAACAGGGAGCTGACGGTGACACACACACACACATACTATTTACGTGGTAGGTAAGTTAGGTTAAATATATGACAAAGAGTAATGGTCGCAATGATGATAAAAAGTCAACTGTCGTTAGGGATATTATTATGGCACATTGGCCGTAAATTGCAAAAGTGTATATGTGTGCAGTCTGCCCTCCTGTAGTGATACGTCTATCACTGTGTCAACGATATAAGGCTAGTCGGCGTTACAATAATAATATGAGATATTATAATTTTTCTACTAAAAAAAAAAGTGAAATTTGATTTCATCAAATGTAAAATACTTTTTGTAATTTTGTAAAAAAATAAAATTATTAAAATTTGCCACTCTCCAAATTTTGCCGCTCTAGGCCCGGGCCTATAGGTCCTGTGCCTAAATACGCCTCTGGTCAGCAGCAAATTAAAGTAGCTGTTACTATTAGCTTGGTGTGATTAAAAAATTTACATCTTACTCTGTATAAATATTTATCGGCGACTTTTAGATGTTGGAAGTGGGATCAGATAATGCTAACTGATACTTAGCGAACCGATAAGTTAATGTTAAAAAGCTATCAAGTAACAGATAAAAATAAAACCATGCAGTCAGTTGCTGTTTGAAAATGCTACTATCAGCAGCAGTTAGATTAAAACACTTCGATTCGAAGTTCTTAAAGATAATTTTGTCAAAATTAACATTTTTAGATGTTGACGACAAATAAACGCATTATAGCTGGACGTTTAGTGAACATTTTAAAATAGGTTAATACAAAAAAGTTTATAGCTTTTTTTGAAAAGGATTCTGAGGATTTCTGCAAATTCATACAAAAAAAAAAATAGAGCCTTATTCAATTCTCTGTCTTAATCGTTAGTAAATACTAGGTGGATTTGGATTTCGAAGATATGTATATATATAAATTATATAGAGTAATTTATTTAAGGTTGACAACTAAATATTTCCTGAAATAATTTGTTTAAAAAAAATTATGAATGTTTTTAGTACAGTTTAGTTCAGTAGGAGGAGGAACGCGACAGTGATGTGTAATGATAAAATTAACATACACTCCAGTCCAATAATACACCTCCAGTCTATATTTTAAAGTGTTAATGGTTTCCAAAATACTAGTTCAAAAGTTGTTATTGATTAGTAGTGATTGATGATGATTCTTAGTAGAATCATCATATGACATCAAGCTAATAAAAATGTATGTTACTATTACAACAAATCAAGTTGGTACCTTTATAAGAGAACCTAAAAAATATTTAATCACTTATAAATCGAAAAATAAATACTATTAAACATTGTAAAAATATACATATACTTAAAATTAAAACTATTTTAGGAGATATTTAGTGGTTAACAATAAATTAATTGTGTTGTATACACATAAAAACAAATAATAACAAAATAAAAGTCCACCTATGATTAATAAATAATATTTTTTAGATTTCTACAGAATGACTAAGCTGTCATTTACTAAAAAGATTAAGTATATAAAAAATTAAATATCTTTTAATAGGTAACAATTTAAAATGTATTTTAAATAATTAAAAAATTTATTATACATTCTATAAATGATATTCTGTATATTTACAAAACAAACTATCAAACAGAAAATAATTTTAATATATTCAAACAAAAACCAAAAAATAATTATTGAAACTTTATACTAAAAATTAAAAATAAACAATTATGGTTGTACATTTACCATAGTATATCTTTAAACCATGAATGAGAGCTGGAATTATTAGAGCTGGATCCACCTATAGATTAAAAGGTATCAAATGAGTTTTATCAAACAATAAAAATAAATGAATTAATTTTTTACCAGTTGAAGAGTTTATAGAGTGAGATAATGTTTGGTTAGCATTTGTAGCTGACGAGTTTTTGTCTTGACACAACAATTGCATTTGAGATACATGCCTACGTTCTTGATCAGCACATAAATCATAATCTTTTTTGTACTGTAACTCACGTAATTCGTCTATTCTATATTTAATAAAAATATATAGTTAAATCACTTTGGTAAATAAAAACTAAATTAAAACTGTACAGGTTAATTGATTAATATAAAAGTTAATGACAAAAAAAAGTAATTTAACTTATACGAGTAATAAAATTGATGGTTGGGACAAAAATGAATGATATTAATGATTATAATGATTATTGTAGTGTGGTTTTTCACGACCTCAATCCATAGACAGACATTTCATCAAGAACAAAAATATCTTATGAATTATTAAGCATTTTTAAAAAATAAGTACAAATTTCTGTCGTTATAAATGTGATTTGATGTCAATTTATAGAACTTAAGTTCTAAGTAATACAATAGTCTATTGAACTCTTAGATAAACAATTATAAAATAATAATATAAAATTATGAATAAGTTAAAACTTTCGTGGATTGTTGTATTATTTAGAATCATATAGAAGTATTTTAACTTTATAAATAGATTTAAAAAATTACAAAACAATGATAGCTTCAACAGATTTGTAGTAATTCATTATTAAAAAAAATTGTGTCTATTCATTTAAATTATTACTTTTTAATTACAGAATTAATAAATCTATTGAAATCTTATTTACTTATTTACATCTTAAAAAATAACAAGCAAAACTTAAACTAGTTTTTTTAGATATTATTTCAGGAATTTATTTATATCTTATTTCATTTTTAAATATTGATACATAGAAGAAGAGAATGGGCTGACAAAATAATACCCTTTAATTTTTGTTGTAACTACAGAATGATTATTTTATCTTGTACCACTCTTTTAATTAAAAGATTAAATTAATAGTAATAATTATATTTTTGTTTTCTTTCATTTACATGTATAAGATTCGATGCAAAGCTGAGAAGGTATTAATTTAATTATAATGTGATTTTTTTTTTGTGTCTGTTACCACTTTTTCTCAGCTCTCATCAAACCGATTTCTTTCAATGATAAGTCAAAAGATCACAAATAATATTATTTTTTATAGATACATATTTACCTATCATTTTATATATATTTTTTTATAAATTTGACCCTTTACCTGCCCACAGGGGGGATTCTAAATAACAACATTTTCAACTTAACTTTTAAAAGTGTACCGAAAACACTGACACTTTTATATCTTAAATTAAAATTAATGTAATATACTTAATTATTGGGATAAAAATGTCGGACTTTATTTTTTCTTTACAGTGAAAATAGTTACCATGTATTATTTTTTTATAAAAATTCTCGATTTTATACTACACTTTTTTTATGATGTGTACTATTTATATACTTTTTTTATGTGACATACTTTTTTTTGAAATCGAACCATTTCTCTTAATACAGGGAATGGGTTCAAAACTCAAAAATGCATATAGAAAAAAAAAACTTATTCAACATAATTTTCGAAAATGTTCCGCGAATATTGACACTTTTATATATATCTTAAATTAAAGCTTATGTAATATACTTTAATATGAAAAAAAAAATTCGCACTTTATTTTGTTTTCACGGTGAAAACAGACATCAAATTCAATAAAAAAAAATACGATTTTTGTAAAAAATTCTTTTTTATATTTTTAACTATATGCTATAATTTTTTGAAAAATGTATGGATCAATAAATATATTTTTTTTCAAATACAAGAGGTAATCACCTATTATTTGGTATAAAATTTTTTTTTTATATCAATCAATTATATGTATTTCCATTTGACAAAATAGAGTTTAAAACCTTGTATGATATAAGAGATGACCATACAAATATTTCATGATAATTAAATTGAAAAAATACCAAGCACATTGTGGACATGACATAGTTAACTTTTTTTTTTTTTTTTTAAATAGCCTTTATTAAAATAATATTTAGCTCAACAATTATAAACAAAGAAAAAAAATAAGTGAATTAGAAGTATAACAGTAACAGTGCTATGTTATAATGGTATAACAAATATGACAATAATTATTAGTATACTCAAAAATAAAGAAAAAATTAAATATTATTAAAATTATTGTTAATAGAAATTTAAAAGTACAACTAAAAGAATTACTAAATTAAAATTTTTATTTGAAATAATGGAGGATGAGAGAAAGTAAATAAATAAGTAAATAGAAGAATATAAAATAAAATAATGAGAGATTAAATGACAAAGCCGGAACTCCTCAAGAAAGATATGATTGAAATAATAATAAAGGAAAAACGGGAATTAAGAGTATTAGCTACGGAAGGGGGATTAATATTGTGGGAGGCTAAGAGGCTGAATAGTTTATTTCTGCTGTTTAATTAGGGCAGGACAATCAAAGAGAAGATGAGAAAAATCGCATATAGCTTCACTATCATGTAGGGGACAGAAGGGAACGGAATTTAAGGAAAGATGAAATGCATGGTAAGGCAGAAGATTATGACCTAACCTAAGTCTTGAGTACTGAGAAATTATATTTCTGGATAAGTCAAGGTTATGAAACCATGGAGAATGTATAATGGATGGAGAAATCGAGCGGTACCAACATACCGTTTTCAATTTTATTGTAGCCCAACTGTCCTGCCAGGCTTGAAGAACTGTATGTCGAAAGAGGCGGAGAAAGTCAGAAGCGGGAGTATTATGGCTAGAAGAAGTAAAGAAGGAGGAAGTATAAGTAGCAAGACGGTCAGCTGTTTCGTTACCTAATATACTGGCGTGGCCCTATAAATCTATTGTTTTTCACTGGCCCGGTACCCAGTGAAAAAAAATAGATTTATTTTGGGATCGAATTAAGGAGATAAGTGATCTAATAATAAGAATGTAAGGAGAAAGATGAGAGCAAAATAGATTAGAAGTGAGGGCAAGTAGGCAAGATAGAGAATCAGAAAAAATAGCAAATTCGTTAATTGAAGTAGAAGATATAAAAATGAGAGCATTAACGATGGCAAGGCATTCAGTGGTAAAAGAAGAAGAAGAAGGGTGGAGTGCAGCTGAGTATGAAATATTAAGTTCAGGAATAAAGAAAGAACAACCAGCCGAGTTGATACAGAACCATCTGTGAATATCAAGCATTTAGTCGGAAAATTAGCTGAGATATAAACTTTGAAGAGATTATTAACGGAAGTTGCAGGAAGAGAATGGAGGATTGAAGGAGGGAAGCCGAGGAAACACGTTGAAGTATACACTATGGCAGCTATTGTAAGAGCCACTAGAGGACAGTCAAATAAAGGTAATCTGGAATGTGATTTGTAAATGTGACAGAGAAGAGCATACTGAGGCTAAAATTGGAAGTGATTTAGGCACGTAGAGCCAGTAATTGCTTAATTCGGAGTATAAAGAGAAGATATGATGGTTAGGGGTGGAGAGAGATTTTAGGAGAAATTTATTAGCAAGCAAGCGACAGCGGATTTCGAGGGGGGGAGAGGAGCACTCAACAAAAATACTATGGCTCGGGGTAGACTTAAGAACACCAAGAATGCTGCGCAAGCATGCGGATAAAAGGGAATTAAGTTTTTTCCTATGAGTGTAGGAAGCTGAAGAAAATAAAAAAGAGCCGTATTTAATTTTAGCGCGGATAACGGATTTAAAAATGAGAAGTAATGAGGAGGGATGAGAGCCCCAAGATGTACCAGTAATACAGCGTAGGAAATTTACCCAGCGAGCAGCGGACGAGAGAATAAAACGGAAATGAGGAAGCCATCTCAGCTTAGGATCCAGTTTAAGGCCTAAATAAGTGACGCATTCAGAGGGGGGGATGGTTATCCCATCAAGAGTAATTATAGGGTAATCTGACGGTAAGCGTTTTCTAGTGAAAATTATTAACTAGCTTTTCAATGGAGCAGCCTCAAAATAATGAATTTGAAGAGAGTTAGAGAGGACGGCTAGTGAATTATTAAGGGAGTTGAGGGCATTATGAATGGATATATGAGAAGAAAAAAGAACGATGTCATCAGCATAGAAAAGTGAGAAAGTACCACTAGAGGTGAGGGAGAGGCTAATTTTGCTCATGTAAATATTAAAAAGAAGAGGACTAAGGCAGCTACCCTGTGGGAGGCCGCGATAGGAAGTGCAGTTTAATATTAAACCGGAAGGAGAAGTGGAAGTAAGAAAACGTTGCGAGTAGAGACGTGAAATAAAATTACAAAGTGTAGGGGGTATAGAATAAGAATGTAAAAAGGAAATAAGGGTAGGAATGTGTACAGAATCAAAAGCACCTTTGATGTCAACAAAGACAGCGGGACAATAAGATTTATCACAAAATGTTTTGTATATACTGGCCGTGAGAGTGGATAAACACTCCATGGTGCCCAGCCCTCTCCGAAACCCGTATAAATTAGGGGGAAGACAGTTATTTTTTTCAAAGAACCAATCAGGCGGTTCTTGATAATGTGTTCGACATCTTTGCAAAGAGAAGAGAAAAGAGCTATTGGGCGAAATGCAACGGAAGCTGAGTTAGATTTAAGGACGGGAATGACGTTAAAATTACGCCAAGAATCAGGAATAACACCTTGGGACCATAAAGAATTAAGAATGACTAAGAGAAGTTCAAGGTAATGAGAAGGGAGATGTTTTAGAACCAAAGAGGAAATTCCATCCAAACTAGAGCTGGACGATTTACGCGAATAAATTGCATAGGAAATTTCACTGAGTGTAAACGAATCAGTAAGAGGATTAAAAGGGAGAAAATTAAGGAAAGGGTTAGGATCAAGGGTAGGAGAGGATTTTTCTAATGATGGGACATAGGGGGGAGCAACCTTATTGCAGAAGGGATCAAACCATGACTCGTTTAGAGAGGGAGAATTTTTATATAGACAGTTTTTAAATTTTTTGGCAATAGTCCAGGTATTAGACAGACTAGAAGAAGAATTAAGTGAGGAACAGAAANCTAGAAGAAGGATTAAGTGAGGAACAGAAAGAGCGCCAGGACATAATTTTTGCTTGTTTAAGTGTTTTTTGAACAGAGGCGCGTACCCTTTGGTACTCAAAAAAGTCACTTAGCAGACCCGAGGATCTATATTTTTTAAAAGCTTTAGTGCGCTCATTAATAGCGTAGGTGCAAGATGAAGACCACCATATTGCNGATAGCGTAGGTGCAAGAGGAAGACCACCATATTGGAGAGGAGGGAAAGGACTTTTTGGTTTTTTTAATTAAAGGAACAGATAAATTAACTGCTCTAATAATTGTAGACACGAACCAGTTGTAGTCCTCAATGGGAGAGGAGGAGAAAAAATTAGAGGTGAAAATGGTCATGTAATTTTGAAAAGTTGGCCAATCAGCTTTCGAATAATTAAATCTGTTAACAACGGTGTGAAAAGAAGAGGGAGAGGGAGTGGGAGAATTAGTGTGAGAAATAATGATGGAAAAATTACCACTACCATGAGTGCAGTCTAGGACAGACCATGACAACAACAACGAGAGAGAGGGAGATGAAATGGTTAGGTCAACCGCGGAATCCATTTGGGAAGGACCTGTAAGGAGGGTGGGGAGTCCTGTATTGAGAATACAAAGATTATAGGCAGAAATAGCAGACGAAATAATGTTACCACGATGATTGGAGATTAGTGCACCCCAGGAGGGATGGTGACCATTAAAGTCACCGCCTATAATAGAATTACAAGAAACTAAAGAAAAAAATCTTATCAATTAGTATAGAAGGAGGGTTGGAAGAGGGGGGAATGTAAATAGACCAAATGGCAATGGGATTGGGTAAATTAGTAAACGCCTGGATACCGCCAAGATCTATAGAATGATTAAGAAGCGAGATTTTTAATACAGGATCAATAGAAATAGGGTTAATGTGGATAGAATGATGAGAGGCGATGGCTACGCCGCCAAAATCGCCGATACGATCAGAGCGATTAATGTTGAACTGTGGAAGATAAACACGTTTATTTGAAAGGAGCAAAGTTTCAGAAAGGAGAGCAAAAGAACATTTATTATTAGAGAGAAGAAAAGAGAGATCGTGCATTCTAGGGGATAAACTTCTTACGTTCTATTGAAGAATATTGAAAGAAGAAAAGTTAGGATTACTATTAAAATGTGTCATCATTGTCAAATAAAGGATAGTGGATGTTAGTTAATGAGGATTCTATAGTTGATTGGAGTATTAAGGGAGAAGAAATTAAATTAGGATCGCTCGCGAGTAGCTCAACGATATGTTGCGATAAGCAGGAAATCCAGTTGCGGTCATCAACATTAGTACTACGATTTTGGGACATGTATTTTAAAAAACTGCTATTAGGCGAAATTGGCCTAGAACAGTCATTTGGTAAAGGAGGAAAGTGGGGGGAGGGGACTTGAGTTTTATTTCTTTTTTTCTTCTTTTGTTTATTTGTATATGTATTAGTAGAATGACAAAGGGAAGGATAGTTAACTTTATATTCAATTATTATTATTATTAAGATTTGTTAATATTTAGATATTATCAACACAACAATAATCCTTCATTATCCTAATATTCAAATTTTAAGACATTTTTAATCAAAATTAGTTATCTTAAAGGTGTGACAGATATAACTTCAAGAATTAAATTCTCAATAAATTAATTTAAAATAACAAAAAAACCAAAAAAATTTATTACTGTATTCCTTAATAACTCAAATTTAAGTGTGAAAAAATATTGTCAGGCATATTCCAGCAGCAACTAAAACTTCAGAATAAAAACAAAGAGCGGAAAAAAGCATTGTGTAATGGCTACCTTTTGGTTTTCAAAAAATCAGCTGCTAAGGGGATGTCTTGTTGACTTTGTATTACATACCTACCCGATCTCTTTAACTTAGTGATAATATCATAAACTACACATTCATTAAAAATCTTAGTCTTAATCACCAAAATTTTATACAAGGTCAATTCAAAAGTTCTTCAGTTGTTTAGTAGTTAATGACTACTAATTTACTTGGTTGACCAGTATATTATTTTATGGTAGAAAAAAAACAAATTAATAAACATCTTATTAAATTTAAAATCTAAATAGATATTGCTACAATTTCTCATAAAAATAGGACATAATATAAATCTTGAAACTATTTCTGACACACTCTATACTATGCAATGTTTTTGTACTTAAAAATTTAAAAACGGGGTATAATTATATAACTTAAAATTTTGTAAAGTTATTAAATGATATTTTTCCATACACTAATTATGTAAGAGTTTTTGTTTACTATTACAGTGATTAAAAGAATTTTATAATTTTGAAAAATTACTCATTTTTCTTTAACTACAGTAAATTTAATGAATAATGTTAAAATAAAATTATTGGTCTATTAAAGTATTTAAAACTGATTAAAATGATACATCATGCAATATATATGAATAAATTTAATTATTATGGTAAAATGAATAAATTTTATAAGGATAAAATAAAAAAGAAAGTTAAGTTTATAGAAATAAAAAATTTAATACTTGTTATTGATGTTTGGTTGATGAAACTTTGGTAAAATTTTCTGTTCTTCATCAAATAGTTGTACTTGCTTTAATGCATTTGATAATCTCAACTGTAATGTATCACGTTCTTCTAGTAACTAACAATAATTTCATAGAGCAATTAGAAAACTAATACTTTCTTCTACAGATTAAACATTTTATACTTACTCGTGTAAGTTCCAAAGTAAGTTCATCACATCGTACATCCCTTTCATGAACAGCAACCAAAGCTTTATCTAACTGATCTTTTATTAATATACTGCTATCTTCATTATATTTTGAATTTTTATTGTAATGCTCCCATTCTAATTTTTGTATTTTTTCAGACAAAAATTCTATCAAACGATCTCGCTCAGCAATGGAACGTAGCTGGAGTTCTGGATTTTCTTCTTTAGTTTTTAAATTTGAATCAGTTAATAAAGTAGAAGATAAAGGGGTAGTTATTGTTTTTTTAATTAATTCATTATTTAACAGTTCTTTTTCATTTGATGATGTGTTAACTATTTCATCAAATTTATCATTATCACTACTCATTGTTATACTATTATTTATTTTAATATTTTGAAATTCTAAACTACAACTTTTGAGTTGATCATAATCGTTTTTCAGAATTTGATATTTTTCTTCTACAACTGCTAAATGTTTATTAGTTTCTAATTTTTCACACATTAAATTGTCTAATTCACTCTGACACTGTGATAAATCTTCAACATGTGTTTCATTATCTTGCACATATCTTTTTTGCAATGCATCATATTTTTCTTTTTCTTTTTTTAATTCTTCATTTAGTTTTCTGAGAATTTCATTTAAATTAGTGGATTCAGTTCTGTTATCATCATCATTAACTTTTTGAGTTCTAAGTTGCTTATACTTAGTCTTCAAATTATTATAACGATGTTGTAAGGATTTAATATCAATTTCATCTTCTTCAGTAGAATATGTTAAATTGTGTTTACTATCAATCTTATGTTGATCATTAACTATATTATTTTGACTTATTACTGTATCAAGATTAACTATAGTTTGAGTAGAAGAATCATTGGTATCTGAAATATTATAAGAGCAGATTTTATTATTGTATTCATCATATCTTTGTTTTAAAAACTCATTTTCTTGTTTCAAAATTTCTAACTGATCTTTAAGTCTTTGTTGCTCTTTAAGTTCAAATTCATTTGTCTTAGATATTTTAGCTTTTTCAACAGCTTCATGAATTAACTTGTCCACCTCTTTTTGAGCAATTAATTTTACATCATCAACACCTACATTTGTATCATTTTTAAAGTTATTAGATGTTTCTAAATAATTAATAAAACTAAAAAAGAAATTTTCTAAATTGTTTTGTAGTGCATCATCAGTATGAGGATATTGAATTAACAATTGCCTTAAGACTTGTTGAGACACATTATCAAATGAATTATCAAATAAATCTTTTAAACTTTGAAAAACACAATTTAAAAAATAAATTTCATGATTTTGTTTTCTATTTACTAAATTTAATTCATTAAATTTACAAATTAATATTTCATAACATTCTTCAAGCTCTTTTTCACATTTTTTAAGTATTGAAGTACTATTTTCCCTTGAATTATCCTTCAAACTCTGATTAAATTGTAACATTCTCATATTTTCAAGCTCTTCGGTCAATAAAACAACTTGCTGTTTTAAATTTTGACATGTAATTTCGAATTCTTTTAATACTTTAACTTTAGAAATTAACAAGTGTTTTTGTTTTTGAAATCGATCTTTTAACGTTTTATTCTGTTGTTCTAAATCCGAAACAGATGTGTAATTTAATTTATCAGTAAGGACAAGATTTTCATTTTTTAATATATTATAATTTTCTTCCATTTCTGAAATTGTATTTTCATATTGCTTGAGTGTTTCATTTAATTTTGTTAATTGAATTTCTTTTTCATTAAAGTTAGTTTCTAGAACTAACCGGTTTTCAGTTAGCTTCTTATTTTCTTTTTCGGTGATATTCAACTGATTTTTTAATTCATCAATATTGTTACATAGATTATATATATTTGTTTCTTTTTCTGTAATTGTAGTTACCAAACTTAAATGTTTATTGGAAAAATGTTCATTTTCATTTAAAATGGTATTTAACTCTTCTTTGACACTAGTAATATTGGAATTTAGTTCTGCTAAATTTAATTTTTTTTCCTCAATATTATTTAATAAATTTAATCGTTCTTTGAGATATGTATTTTTTTCTTTAATTATAGAATCAAGTTGATTTTCTAATTTTGAAATATGTGCTTCTAGTTCATAGATTTTTTCATTGTATTGTTGCTTTAACATAGACAATTCAACAGTATTTGTTTGATTAGTTTGTAGTTGCTCAATAGTGGCACACATGTCAATTATTTGAGAATTATAATTTTCAACAACTTGAGTATGCTCATTAATTATCTTTTGAAGCTTAACATTTTCTTCTTTAACTGAAATTAAATGTTGAACTTTTTCATTTAAGTTATAGTTTTTATTGTTGAATTCATTTTTCATCTGAATATTTTCCAAAATTTTTTCTAAATGAGATAACTGATCTTTAAGGTTTTTGTTTTCTTCACTCAAATTGTTTACCTCAATGTTTGAAGATTCCATTGAATTTTCTTTTAAGGTTTTTATTTCAGTGTATAGTTCTAGATTTTCATTATTTAATTGACCATTACTATTTTTTAACTCATTGATTAATTTTTCCATTAGGGAAGATCTATCTTTATCTTTTAAATATGCTTCTTTTAGCTCAGACCAACGATTTTCTGTTTGTTGAATTAGAGAAATATGACTTTGAAGTTGTTGGTTAAGAGTAATATTGTCATTGATTATTTTTTCTTTCTCACATTGAACTTCTAAAATAAAAAAAATTATTTGTCAATAAACCACATCCTACTATTTAGGTATAAAAATGTTAATAACTTCTAACATAAAGTTCCAAAATTGTAATCAAATTTTGTCATTTATTTGACAAAATCATTATCAAATAAATAATCTAATTGATTATGTAGGTTCTCATTTTAATGATTAAATTAAATTAATACCCTCATAAATAATTATATGAAATAAATACAATATTATTTTATAATCGTATAAAAAATTTATTGTTAAATTGAGAAAAACATGTAATTAATAGAAATATTTTATTTCACAAAATTAATTAAGTATTTAATGTTAACATAATTAGCCTGTATAATCAAAAGTTATCATTGAAATATTTGACACAATATTTATTAACCTGCTAGTGATCATGAATGACCCAATTATATTTCTTAAAAAACATATAGAAATATATATTAAATTCTTAAACATTATAAACTTTGATATATAATACCAAATGGACTCTGTTTTGTTATTCCTCCAAATTCATTAAATTTTATATATTTTTTTATAATAATAGTTCTATACTTAGAAATTCTTTCCACTATTTTAAATTTTCTGTTTTAAATATTGTTACCACACTTCATAAATTATCATACCCAAAATCACATAAATTTCACTTATCATTACTTAAACAGCAAATATCTATATTTAAGAGTAGTTTTAATAGCTTTTTAAATACTTTGCATAAATATTACTTACCATTAAGAGTTTTTTGCAACAAACAATTATTTTCACTTAATTTATTATAGTCATCAAATTTTATTGTACTATCATTATTATCTGAGATTAATTTTTCTAAATCATCACATAATTTAGTTTTGTCCTGTTGTAAACTTTCTATTTCATTTTTTAACCTTTTGTTTTCATCTTTCAAAGTATTAATTTCTGTGGACATCATTTCTGATACTTCATCACGAACCTTATCAGCAATAGATTTGGTGCAACTATTAGCATTTTCTAAATCTTCTTGTAATTTGTCATTCATATTTTGTAAATCTAAACATTTTTCTTTAACTTCAGAATAATTTATTTTCAACTGATTGAAGTCATACATAATTTTATCCATTTTTTCAACATCTTGAACACTAAAAGATACAATAGATGATTGATTGTGAAGAGTTGTAATAGCTTCATTTAAATCATCCCTAAGTTTATCATAATCCTCTTTTAATTTATTATTCTCCACATACAAAATAGAATTTTCTTCTTTTAAATCAATATTTTTTGATTTTAAAATTTCACAACATTTTTGAATTTTATCTAAACTACAGGGAAAATAAAAAATTTAAAAAAATTATGCACCATCAAGTTAGCGATAGTAATAGTATAATAACTCAAAAAATATCAATTTTGAGTTAGACATCATATTTTTTTATAGTAAAAGTTATATTCTACATAGTACACTAACCTATTCATATTAAAATATTTTTTTGTCTCCAATCCTACAAAATTATAAATTCGAATGAAATAAAATATTTTCTGAAATTTTAATCCTACAATATGTATTTTTTTTTCATTAATAATGGTTTTCAAAATAATGAGTATAAATTAATTTTTTTTGAAAACTATAAAAATATCTTTAATTATCATAAATAAAAATATAAGAATAGATAATTAATTTCATTAAATACAACTAAGTAAAAAAAAAAAAAATGATTTGGTTATTATTCAATATTATATCTGAAATACTATGATTAATTTTCTTTTTTCTATGTTTTTTGAGTTAAGTTTTATTTACAAGACTATAATTCAGGTTTTTATAGTAATATAATATATGGATTAAATAGGCATTGTATGTGGGCTCCTGGAGTCATCCCCTCTGAAAAATAATTATTAAAATTAAATAAGCAATAATCATCAACTAAAATTGTGTATATAAGTATTTATAACAACGTAATTATAAAACTGTAATATAATAGCAATTAACAAAAAGTTAATTATTACAAAAAAAGAAAGAAATGTTCATTCATTTAAAGAATGAAAGATCTGTTTGACCTATTGCTCAACATCATCTTATTCTAAAGTGAAATTTCATTCAAAAACACTTTCTTAAATCCTCACGTCATCATAATATTAATATAAAAATAATCATTTTTTTGTAAAAATTTTTAATACAAATAAGATAAAATAAGAAAATATAAATAAATTTTTTTCAATAATTCTTACATAATTTATCCACATATTTTTGTCAAGGGTCACCACAAAAAATATTTTTGCTGCTGTCAAAAATAATGAGTTGTTGACACCGCTGAGTCAAAAAAAAAGATTCATTCTTGTATTTTATTATGTAATAAAAAAAAAATCATATAAATAGGCATAGCAAAATTATAGATGGTACATCTTCAAATTTGTGATGTAATAATTCTAAATTTGGCAAAAATGAGACAAAAAAATATTTTTTAATTTGAATAGGTCTAATGGTGCACTAATGTATTTTAATGTATATAAAATATTTCAATTGTAAAATCACAAAACACTATAGAAATTTACATTAAAGGAGTAAATAAATTGAATCTTTAAACTCAATTATTTCAAATCTAAGGTTTTGAGTTATTACACTAATATTTTGATAGTGTGATTTCATCTTAGTCAACATAATTATATTTTCTAACTTTTTGTGAAACTTTAGATATTCATCAGATCTACACTGTTCTAGCTCTTTAACTGTTTGTAAATTTATCTTATTTTTTTCTATAATCATGTAATTTAATTTTTCTATTTCCGCATTTTTCAACAGCATTAGTTTATCTTTATTTTCTAAAGCTTTCTGTTAAAAAAAAAAAAATAAATCTTTTTAAACAATTAATTTTTTAGTAATAATAAAATTAAATTTTATAAAAATAAAGTTAAGAATATAGCACAAGTAACAATGGCTTTATATATAAATTAAAATAAATAAAAACAAATTCTAACAATATAGAGCTTACTTCATATTCTTTGAGTTTTAAGCATACGTCATCAATTTGATTCTTTAACTTTTCTTGAGCTTTTTCATTGAGTTGTTTTTCAATTATGTCTTCCTATAATATTATTTTTATGTAAAAATAAATTATGTATTCTAGCACTCAGTTAGAAGGTGTAGGTAAGAGGTACATTTGAGTATTCAAGTTCTTCATTACAAAATTGTTTTAAACATAACCAAATTATATTCAAAATAATTGGGGATTATGCTTTCAATCATTTCATTAATAACCTGCAACCTACACCTTTTAGTTTAACAATAAGTCTTCTTCTTTCTCCTCGCCTTAATCCCAACTACTTGTGATTGGCCATCCTTATTCTAAACTTCCACTTGACACGATCTCCCACATCATCTACGCTCACATCAGCTGTCCTCATATTGTATTCAATAGCATCCCTCCATCTCTTTTTTGGTCTTTTTCAACCTCTTCTTCTTTCAACATTCATTTCTACAACTGTTCTTATGGTTTCCGATTCTTCTCTTCTCATAACATGACCAAACCATCAACGTCTTTTTCCTCTCATTTTATCAACGATTGATGCTACACCTATACTCCCTCTTGTATGCTCATTTCTTATCCTATCTTCTCTACTCACTCCACTCATTCATCTAGGCATTGTTATTCACAGCTTCATTTTTTTGTTAACCGCTCAACACATGAACCATACATCATTGTTTGTCTCACGACAGTCTTTTAGAATTTACCTTTCAGCCTCATTGGAATTCTTTTATTGCATAAGACGCCAGATGCTTCTCTCCACTTCACAATCACTCGCACTTAATCCTGTGTCTTACATCCTCATCAATAGCACCGCTCTTTTGCACAACTGATCCTAAATACTTAAAATTTCCCACCACTCCTATCACGTCTTCGCCTATTATCACTGATCTTCTAATTTCACCTACCTCGTGTTCTCTTTTGTCAAACTCGTACTCTATATATTTTTCTTACTCCTACTTATTCTTAAACCATTTTCTTCAAGAGCTGATCTCTACACCTCAACCTTTGATTAATTTTCTCTCTATTTTCTCCTATTAACACTATATTGTCAGTGAACAACATGCACTACGGCACCTCTTCTTGTATTTCTCTAGTAATTTCATCCATCACTATATAGAATAAATAAAGGCTGAAATTAGAACCTAAATGCACTCCTACTCTTACCCGAAAACCTTCTGTTACTTCTCCCACACTTTTTACCCTAGTACAAGTGCCATCATACATATCCTCTATTATATTAATGTACCTTTTCGGAACTCCTTTTCTCATTAATGCCCACTTTAGAACCTCTCTCGTCACTCTATCATACGCTTTCTCCAAATCTATAAATACCATACAAAGTTTTTCTTTTTTTCCCTAAACTTTTTTATTAGTTGCCTCACACAAAATAATAGCTCCATTGTTGACTTACCAGGCATAAATCCAACCTTCAATTTCGACCACCGGATCTTCGATTTTTCCCCTGTGTTTCTTCTATTTTTGTTTATTCTCTTTCCGGTACACCACAACTCCATTACTATCAGTCTATGTTGTGTAGTTACACTCTCGCCTGGTATAACTTTACAATCTTTTACTCACTTTACGCTCTCTCTCTTCCATATAAAATAATCAATCTATGATCCATTCCTCCCACTCTTATTTGTTATATAATGTTCTTCCTTCTTTCTAAAATAAGTATTAACCACAGCAAGATCATACGATATTGCGAAATCCAGTATTCTTTCTCCAGCCTCATTTTTCCCACAAAAACCATACCCTCCGTGTACTCTTACATATCCTCTCCTCTCATTACCTACATGTCCATTCATATCTCCGCCTATCACTGCATCCTCATTGCCAGGTAACCCTTGCATCACTTCGTCCATCTCTGTCCAAAACTGTTCCTTGTCTATTTCATCACATCCTATTTGTGGTGCGTAGGCACTTATTACATTCAGCACTTTTTTCCTCGGATATCAACTTTACGACTATAATTCTGTCACTTTTCCTTGCTACTTTTACTACTTTACTTTTCATCTCCTCATCCATTATTATTCCTACACCATTCTTTGTACTAGACTTACCTGAGTATATTATTTTATAACCCTCACCTATTTCCCTCAATTTCTCTCCTTTCCACTTAGTTTCCTGCACATAACAAATGTTAACTTTTTTCCTCTTCAATAATTCTACTAATTCTCTACTTCTACTAGTTAATGTTCTAACATTCCAAGTACCTATTCTTTCTTTGTATCTACCTTTCTCCCTTATACACGAGTCCAGCCTAGAGTTAAGTGGTGATGTCCTTACACCGTTGACACTACAAGTGTAGGGTAGACCTGTATACATGACAGGTGAAACAGCTATCGCACAAGTGTTCCGGCTGGTATCAAACACTTTATTCCTTAGGCCTCCTCCGTTTTTAACTACTTTAATCCCTCTTGCCTATTGGCACCACGTACATCGAGATGAGACAATTTGCCTAAGTTTTGTTCAGAACTAGTCAAACTTTTTGACAAAAATTTTTATGCCGGCTGTCAACCTGACACATCCTCATTAGTCGCCTCTTACGACTGGCAGAGGGGCCGTAGAAGTATTCTTATCCCCTATCCACAGGGGATAACAATAAGTAAAATTAAAAAGTAATTTATAGTTACACAGCATTGAGAAGATATACTGGAATTGAGATATTTTTCATCAGTTTTAAATTTTTTTTCATATGAATCCAGCATTGTTACTATAGAGTTTTTAATTATATCAACATTAGTTTCATTCTCAACAAGCAACTTCCTGCAAAATAAACAATAATTTAAATATATTTTGATAACCATCTAATATATTGAAATACATATTAATATATTATAACAGTGTCATATTCCCAGTGAGTACAAAAAATTGATACTTTTAAGTACTAGTTGGTTACAATTTCTCAAGAGTGAAAAATAATTATAACACTTAATTATTTTATAAATAACTAGAACTCAAATAAATGCATGAAATCATTAATATTAGCTTTAATTAACTGACAATTTTGGCAGATTGTGTAGTTCAGTTGAGAATTTATTTCTAAGTGCACAGATATCAAAATTTGATTCTGTTTATGAGCTGTTTAAAAAAAAAATTTAAAGGCTTACATTGCCATGTTTGAACTATTGATGGGAAAAGAAATTTAATAATTAAAAAATTTGTATTGTAAGCTGTAATTGATTAAGAAAAAATTTGGAAAATTTTTATTTTATTTTTTATTACATTTTTGATTATAGTTATTAAATTAATTTTTAGAAAACGTATCAAACTTATAATCTATGATTTTAATTTAGTGTAAATTTGAATTCCTAAATTCTAATCATCAATAAAATTTGAATTTTTCACATCACTATTTTTAATCCCACCCCTGTACTTAAGAAATAGTTGAAATGTCAAAAAAAAAAACTACACCAGAAGAAAAATTAATTTCTGAAATATTATAAAAAAATATATCATACTGGCCCAAACTTATGGAAAAAGTTATAGTAATTTTAAGTAAAAAATGTTTAAACAATTTAAAATTAGCTTAATAAAAAAAATAATAAAATTGAGGGATTTTTTCTTTGTAATAAATATTTTTAACTATATGTGATTTTGAGATTTTTTTGACATTAATATTGATCTAGTAGCAGCTAAATAATAGTGTCAATAGTCAACAAACAAAGTTACTGGATGGTTCTTTTCTTAGCAATCACTTTATTGATTGAAAAATAAAAAAAAATTATTACAATTTTTATTTGGTTTTTATTAATTACATTTTTTTTCATTAAGTATTTTTAATGTTTATGCTTTATGTCTTTTAAGGGTATTAACTTTTTTTAAATGGGAACCCACATAATAAACTAGATTATCTATTAGATAAATGGTTTTATTAAATAAATGACTGGTTGATTACAATTTTGGACCATTATTCCGGAAGTTATTAATACGTTTATATCTAGATATTAGAAGGTGCATGATTTAGAAATGTTCTAGTAATAGATAAAATACCCACACCTGACTATCAGTCATTACTTTAAATTGTTAATTACTTCCAAAATACTAGTAAAAAAGGTGTTGTATGCTTTTTTCTCTTACAAACCTATCATCTTCTATATATTGACGTAATCTTTGAACAGATTGGCTAGTTTGACTTATGTCTGGATCAAATAGATAAGAAGAATCAATACTGGCCATTGACAAGGATGATGGACATCTTAGTAGTGGTGTAGTTGATCTACTAGATGTTTGTTGTTGATGTCTTGCTCTATATTTTTCTAAACGTTTAGCAATTTCCTAATAAATAAATATATAAGTCATCAATTTTGAAAGTTTAAGTACAAATTAAAAACCTTTTTATTTTTGCTCATTACATTTCAGTGATAATTAATGAGTAGATAATAATTATTATGTGCAACCCTATTTTCCAGAAACAAATTTTGAGTTCAGGTTCTGGGCATTACTCAACAGTCAACTAGTAGTACTGTTTACAATTAACTAAAAGTATCAATAATTAAACAAATTTGTTATTTATTCTGTAAATTAAGTTTACAGCTTTCAAATTAACTAAATTTGTTTAACATTTACAGTCTCTCTATGATACAAATAATAATTAAATTAAATTTTATATTTATATTAATCCAAATAGTTATAATTTATAAGATTTACAATTTTATCAAAGAAATAATGAAACATATCATTCAACGCTATAATTCCTAAGTATTGATGCTTATATATGCAGTATAAAATGTATTGAATTTCATCTACCTCAGCTTTATGATGCAAAATATTTTCATTTGGTTCACTTTCATTAACAAATTCGTTTTCACCATCTTCACCAATATTAGAAATCATTATGCTTCTAATGAGAAAAATAAACAAATGATTGATTAATAAATACACACCATCAATAATAAAACTTACTTAAAATCAATATCAAAATTTATTATATTTAAAATTCATAATATTTTTCTTAAAGGTGTAAAAATATACTAGTAGTTACAAATTGCATTTGATCAATTTAAAACAGTTAATATTACTGTATTTATTAAATAAAATCAACTTTTTGGCCAAATCATAACTATTTAATCAATAGTTTTTATGATAAAATAGTTCCAAGTGTTATCCAATAATTATTTTTTTACTCGATTTTTGATTTGATAGCAAATTTCCAAATCACCTATTCTTGACCAAAATCGAAAGGCTTGACATCTAGTGACAATACATTGAACTACCTGAACTATGCCTGAAGAAGCTCTATTAACCACTCGAAGGTGGTTATAGATAATATTATTTTATATAATATAAAAGAAATTTAATTCTATTGAATATTGTCCATTAATTTATTTTTAATTTTTAGAGTAAATCCCGAGAACAATGTGAATTCATTGATAAATCCATGAACATATAAATATGTATTTATATGTCTATAAATGATTCCCCTCAACAGGAAAACAACTTTTCCACGAACTGATAATGCTCCTACATTTACATACTACGACATTTAACAAAGTAGTAATTATTCCGAACATATAGTACTCCGACCATCTGATAATATAACTTATATAATCATGACGGATTTTACTCCAATATTATCGATAGTCAAAATAATTTTTTTATTTATGTACACACACACACACATATATATATATATGAATATTTACTTTATAGTAACACATAAGAAAATAGTAAATATCCCTCGTTCCCCGTAAATGAGGGAAATCTCCAAAAAATTACAAATTTAAAAACCGCTAATTTTCGACATTTTTTCAATTTTTTTACTTACAACTATCATAACTTTTTGAAAAATAACCAAATCAATAAAAAATTTTTTTATATAGATGAATGAGATATTTTTACCTTTTATTTGGTATATTTTTTTTATAAATTTGACCCTATACCTGCCCATAGGAAGGATTTAAAATTACAACTTTTCACAAAAAATTAACTTTTTTAAGTGTTCCGGAAATTTTATAGGTTATATATATCTTAAATTAAAGCTAATATAATATAAGTTTTTATGGAAAAAAAAAATTTGCACTTTATTTTGATTTCACGGTGAAAACAGACATCAAAGTTAATAAAAAAAACCAGCACAGTGGTGACGTGGCATAGTTGGATCAAGTATAATGATATCTGACAGTGATTAAAATCACTATAAAAAAAAATGCTTCGATGCAAATCTTTAGATAGTATTTAATTTTAAAAAATTGATGAATTATTCCAAAAGCTACATGATCTGCTAGTTCCTTATTAATATCCTGATTAAAATAAAGTATGTCGAATGAAAGAGGGATATAAATACTAATTCTCATGAAAAAATTGTATTGATCCATACAGTTTTCAAAAAGTTATAGCATAATAAAGTTAAAAATGTAAAATACAAAATCGAGAATTTTCACACAAAAATAGCATTTGATAGCCATTTTCACCGTGAAGACAAAATAAAGTTTGAAATTTTTTTTTTCCATGATAAAGTATATTACATTAGCTTTAATTTAAGATATATATAAAAGTGTCAGACTTTCCGGACACATTTTTAAAAGTCAAGTTAAAAAAGTTAATTTTTTGTAAAATAGTTGTCATTTTAAATCCCCTCTTGTGGGCAGGTTTAGGGTCAAATTTATAAAAAAAATGTACTAAGTGATAGGTAAAAACATTATGATTCTATTAAAATTACAAATTTAAAAATCGCTAATTTTTTCAATTTTTTTTTCTTAAAACTGCCATAACTTTTTCAAAAATGAACAAATCAATATAATTTTTTTTGATAGATGCTTGATATCTTTATCTATCATTTGGTATATTTTTTTTATAAATTTAACCCTTTACCAGCCCACAGGGGTGGATTCAAAATAACAACTTTTTCACAAAAAATTAACTTTTTCAACTTAACTTTTGAAAGTGTTCCGGAAATACTGACACTTTTATATATATCTTAAATTAAAGCTAATGTTATATACTTTATTATAAAAAAAAAAAAATTTCGGACTTTATTTTGTGTGAAAATTCTCAATTTTATTTTTTACATTTTTAACTTTAAAATGTTATAACTTTTTGAAAAATGTATGGATCAATACAATTTTTATATGAAAAGTAGTATTTATATACATCTTTCATTTGACATACTTTTTTTTTAAATCGGGCCATTTCCCTTAATACAGGGGGTGTTCAAAACATAAAAATGCATAGAGAAAGTAGAACTTTTTCAACTTAACTTTNGGGTGGATTCAAAATAACAACTTTTTCACAAAAAATTAACTTTTTCAACTTAACTTTTGAAAGTGTTCCGGAAATTCTGACACTTTTATATATATCTTAAATTAAAGCTAATGTAATATACTTTATCATGGAAAAAAAAAATTTCGGACTTTATTTTGTCTTCACGGTGAAAATGGCCATCGAATGCTATTTTTGTGTGAAAATTCTCGATTTTATTTTTTTAATTTTTAACTTTATAATGCTATAACTTTTCGAAAAGTGTATGGTTGAACACAATTTTTTTATGAGAAATAAATTTTATATATCTTTTTCATTCGACATACTTTATCTTAATCAGGATATTATGATCTGCTAAGGAACTAGCAGATCATGTAACTTTTGGAATAATCCACCAATTTTTTAAAATTAAACACTATTTAAAAATTTGCATTGAAGCGTTATGATAGTGATTTTAATCACTGTCAGATATCATTATACTTGATCCAACTATGCCACATCACCATTGTGCCGCGACCCCCTTGTGCTGTGTTTTTATTTTTGTGGAACTATGACATACTTTTAGTAGATTAAAACCTCTCAAATCTCTCCGGTTTGCGACTAATCATAAGGTCGAATTCAGACTGGATTTAATTTATTTCGTTGACTTGTCCATCTTACACAATGAAATGATACTAAGTCATATATTTTTGTTTGATTTTATACAAAAAAAACTGTTTAATGTCGAATCCTATCATTAAAGACACATACCCCCTATATTTTTTTAACCAATTAATACATGAGAACACGACAACTAATTAAATGTTAGAGGTAATATAATAGGTACTCATAATTAGAGGCAAAAAAGACTGAAAGACTGATAATAGCAATCGCTTTTCTTCCTCAAAAAAAAAAAAATACTTTTTAAGGCCTCACAAAAATTATATAACTGGGTTTTTTTAAGTTTAAAGCTTTTTCTTACCCTAAAATGCCCACTGTTTCTAAATTTGGATACTTTTGGAGGGCCTTTATTTTAATAATGATTTTTTACTAGACAGTAAACAATGATAACACTATTTTATGCTAATTTTTTATTTCTACGATATTCATCTACTTCGAAATATGATAAGTTTATTAATTAATTTTATTCGGAGCAATTGTCGTTGAAGTAAAATCCAAATTTTTGTAATCAAGTATTCGCAGTAATTTTTTAAAATGTCGGAACATTATCAATTCGTGGCAATCTCTATAACCCCAATCCACTTTGCCAGAGAATTCCTTAATATAATAATTGATAATACTATTTCTTATCAATTTACAAGATAATTGTTTGGAATCATGCCTTAAATTTATAAGGAGTCGATTTATTGTAGAATATGATATTTTTTTATACATTTTATTTTGGTATTTGAATTAATTTTCGCTTTGATTTCAATAAATGCAATTACATTTTTGGTAAATTATTTTTTTATTATAAATTGATTGAACCAATTAACTATGAATTTTGTTACAAAATTTTAAACCTACTATTGTATTTTAAATTAATTTTTTTGAAAGTGTAGTAATTGTAGCTGATGGATGTAAATAAAAATTCAACAAAAAACAAAGAAGATACTTCAAGTAATTTATGTTTAAGAAGACATTTGGATAGTTTTCATCCAGACTGTAATCAATCTAAACAGCTTTATGATCAATGTTTTCGAAAATGGTTTGCTGAACAGTATATGACTGGACAACATAATAACACCTTTAATGGAGAACATGATGCTTGTCAAAAATTATTTGATGAGTATACAGATTGCGTAAAGGTATACATTTATATAGATTAGATATTAGTTAAGTATTGTAATGTTTATTTAATATCAATTAATTTTTATTTTAACTAAAAATTAGATTGGCTTAATATAAAATGCCTTTTTTATGCTGTAAAGAAATATTACAATCATTTTATATGTTAAATAAAAATCTAATAAATCAAGGAATATAAATGACATTTTTAAAAACATTTGAGTTGCTCTGCTGGCCAAAAAAAATTAACTGATAATGAAAGATCAATTTTTTGACTTTTTGGTCTCATATCATGTACAATAAATAGTTTTTTTCGTACAGTTGAGCAAATAATGAGTAAATAGAATCTTTTAAAGTTGAATCATCAGTTATTATCAAGTTTTTGCCTCAACTCGGGAAATCATAGCCAAGTTCATGTGATCACATATCTGTTTGTTAACTTTTAACAAATAATCAACATTGTAAAAGCTATTTATAATCTATCATTTGTTAGCAGTTACTATTAGTGTCATATTCAGAGTGAATAATATCAACCATAATACGAAAAAGTACACATTAACTATAATTATATTTATAAAAATATTTTTTGTAATAATGTTTAGTATACTGAATGTATGTTTAATTTTTTAATACGGTTTGTTTACAAAATAAAATATTGCTCATTTTCTATAACAAGTTTTTAGAGTCTGAACAATAAAGCCTTTAAATGAAATATTAAATTTGGTTAGTTAAATTATTTATAATTTTATTCTAAATTTTAATATAAACTTCCTAAATATTTGCTTTTTTTCTATTTGTGGCCTAATTATTTTGAAAGTGTGATATCAGCTTTTCAATAAGAACCACAGATATATAATATAACCCTCACCTATTTCCCTCAATTTATCTCCTTTCCACTTAGTTTCCTGCACATAACAAATGTTAACTTTTCTCCTCTTCAATACTTCTACTTATTCTCTACTTTTATCATTTAATGTTCCAATATTTCAAGTACCTACTCTTACTTTGTATCTGTCTTTCTTAAAATCTTATATCTCTTTGAGATTATTAGTTAATAAAAAATTAGGAGTATTAAAAACAACTCTTGAAAAAATCATGAAAATCAGCCGACTTTTAAAATTATTTTATGATTAATTTAATTTGTTAAATTAGCTCTAATTTTTTTATACCTTGATTAAAAATTTAATGCTATACAATTTTTGATTCCTTAAAACATGTGTATTTTTAAAGTATTAATGAAAAGTTGGTAAACAAATTTGATAAAAATTTTAATTGAGGTGAATACATTTTTTTGCTTTTTTCAGTTATTAATAAAGATTGTCATTTATTGTTATACAATTGTTTTACACTTTAATTAGTATGATCCCTGGTTGTTTCTCTAAGAGGTTATAAAGTAATTAGAACTGGTACTCAAGGTAGTTATAGTTTAGTCAGCTATCTTATTGTAAGTGAGTCCATTTGGTTACTGTTGACAGGTGTTTGGGACTCATACCAAATAGCATTGTATCAATTAGTGGAAGCACCAGACAGTGTCGTATATTGATTAGTCTCATATTGATAGCCAGCTATTTTGTTTGGTTACTATTGATGAGCATTTGGGACTTGTATCCACCCAAATAGCAATTTATACATTGTTATTGTGTTTTAAAGTTATAAAATATAAAAAAAAGAAAATTTCTGACTCTGCTGCAAAACATCTAAAATGTGAAATAATATACAGAGTAATTCGTTTGTCTTAGCCCACTCAACTACTTACAAAATAAAAGTTTTTTTTAGCTACATATATTTCTTGATTCATTAGTTGTTAAGTACTTTTTTGGATCATTCCTTATACCTTATAAGGATGTCAACTTAATTTTTTTAATGGTGACATACATGTTCGACTCTATTACATTCAATAAAGTAAGGTATAATAAACAGATCTCTCTGTACATAATTCAAAATTCAAACTTAGAAATTTTTATTTTCTTATAATGAACAAGAAATATTATATTGATATTATACTAATGTATTATTATTTATATAATATTATTTTAGAAAGGAATGAAAGAGTATGGGTTACATTATGAAGAAATAGCAATTTTCAACTTGGAGACAGAAAAGGAAAAATCAAAACCTAAAAAAAATTAAAATACATTTTGTTAAATAATGAATAATAATAATAATGTTAATATTAGCAACTTAACTAAAATTAATGAAAATGAAAGTATAAATGTCAATTTAAACATTAGTAAGTCTTGTAAAGAAACAATAGAAAATGTTGATTCTTTATCTCAGCTAGAAAAAGATTTGGATAGTAAAATAGAAGATTTACAAAAAAAGAATAAGGAACGAATACAAATAATGAATGCACTTCATTATTACAATGATTTGAAAGATGCTGCTCAGATAGTATTAGGCAGATTAGCATGCTTAGAAGGTACAACTATTGCTCATATTCATCGTCAATTTGGTATTTCTGATGATGAATAATATATGAATTACATTTATATATTAAGATTGAAAATAATGTCTTTGTTTTTTTTAAATAAATATTTATAGTTTCATTCTATATATATATTTTATATTTTTTCCATGGAAACATTTTTTCTAATTAATTCAATTAAAAAAAACCCAGCACAGTGGGGTCGCAGCATAGTGGAAACGTTGCATAGTTGGGTCCAGTATAGATTTAATCTGACAGTGATTAAAATCACTATCATAAGAAACGCTTCAATGCAAATCTGTAGATAGTGTTTAATTTTAAAAATTTGACGGATAATTACAAAAGCAACATCAACTTCTATTTCCTTAATTATACCCAGATTAGTAATTCTTTTAATTATATACCAGTGTTGGGAAAGTTCCTTTTTAAATGGAACTCGTTCTNAAAGTTCCTTTTTAAATGGAATTCGTTCCGTTCCCCGTTCATTTTCTAAAATATGAACTCGTTCCAGATCCTAGTTCTTTATATTAAGAAGGAACTTGTTCCAGATCCAGTTCCTCCAAAATAAGAACTCGTTCCACTCTTCGTTCCTTTTATAAGTTATTTAAAAAATTGTGGCAATGAGATCATGATAACGGTCATCAATGATTTTCATCAGCAGTCGAATACAAAACAAATTTGTAGTATTCCTTATCTAAAAGTATTCGAAAATTATATTTATAAGCAGGTAGTAAATGCTAACGACTTGTGTCAACGCGACCAATGTCTATTGTCTACATATAAGTTAGAAATAATAAATCAGAAAACCCAAAACCTTTAACATAAATTAGTTAACAAGAAACGACGATAATATTTGGTGCATTATTTAATATACAGGGTGTTCAGTAAGTCAGGAAACGGGTATCTATTGTTCTCATTGTTACAAACAATGAGAACAATTGAAAACCGTTTCCTGACTTACTGAACACCCTGTATATTAAATATTTACTGTATACCTACATGTGATAATAACTCTATCTATAGTCAATTGATTCATTTAAACAGCCTACGATCTCGGCTGGGTATATAGGGGACTTCCATTGTCAAAAGTCAACTAAAAATACCATAATATTTTAATGTCTAGATACGAAGAAAACTACACTAAAACATGTTTATAAAAATTTTTAGGAACTGTAATTTCCGTTCACGTTCCTTAAAAAATGGAATTTGTTCATTTTCCTCGTTCCTTTATTTTAAAAGGAAGCAGTTCCTAGCATCGTTCCTTCAAAAAGAACTCGTTCCAGGAATCCGTTCCTTTTGGAACTAGTTCCTTCTCAACACTGTTATATACTATATAATTTTTCAAATTATTATTGATTTTGATTTTTAATATGTTAAAAGTAATAATTTTGAACCTACTTTTTATTGTCCTTTAAAGTGAAAGTTTTATTAAAAAAAAAAAATGAATTTATTACCATAACAAGTAGCTCAATTTGCAAGTTTGAAATTGACATTATTAAATAGATAAAAATGAAATTGTTAAGGTTAATATGCTGTCAGCAAATTTTATAATTACTATTTATAGCATATTTTTTAGAAAAGTTAGATTTTTTTACATTTTTATCGTAATAGATCACTTAAATAAAAATCATAGTAATCATTTCTAATTAACTTTTGGTGTTTAAAAAGATTCTACAATTGTAATATCCAGAATTTAATTAATTTTAATGATTATATATCTAAAAAACCAATAAAAAAAAAGTTGTTAAAAATATTTACTCAATTGAGCGTATTATAAAATTGTAAAAATCCATCGTTAAATTCAGGTGACACTAAAAATAATTTTTTTTAGAAATGATTTATATAGCAACATGTTACCAACAAATTTGGAATATTATAGTCTAGTAGTAGCACACAAAAATAGAGCTAAAAAATTAATAAAATACAAAGTAAAATTATTTACTTTTGTAGTTGAATACTTTTATCATATCAAATCTAATTCGACATTAAATACTTTAAGAATATTAGAAATTAATGATTTTAATTGTTTGTATGGAAAAAGCTGGCTAAGCTACTTTTTATTAGAATAAGGAATATTTTTTCGATTTTTAAGAGTAATAACTTAAACTAAATACGAATTGTAATCATTTGACGTATCGTTGAAATAGTAGATCCAGTGAGGGTTGGCAAAATAAATCGTAACCACAAAAAGAACCACATAGTAAAATAATATTAACATGAATATGAATTTCTTCTCACGAGAGGAGACTACAGTAATGGGATCCTTGATATTTATTGAATCTAAATGAGATAAAAATCAAATGAGTTAAACATTTTTTTCTAACTCAAAAAGAATTAAGAAAAAATTCAGTGCTACAGACGTGAAAGACCAAGTGTTACGGCCTCAGAAACCGTACGTCGCATTTGTCACTTAATAAAAATGGAAATTTAGCTAGTTCAAATTTTAAAGTTAATTTTCTCGACTTCAAAGAAACAAAAAAATTTAAATATGTTAATAACTTAAAAATAACTTTTTATACTATGTCAATTAGATTGATATAATATTTATGAAAATCAGTGTAAACCCCTTAAAATAAAATAAAATAAAATACAAAACCAAGAGTTTTAACACAAAAATAGCATATTTTTGATTACGGTAGCTATTTTCACCATGAAGACTAAATAAAGTCCGAAATTTTTTTTTCCAAAATAAAGTATATTACATTAGCTTTAATTTAAGTTATATATAAAAGTGTCAGTATTTCCGGTTCACTTACAAAAGTTAAGTTGAAAAAGTTAATTTTTTGTGAAAAAGTTGTCATTTTGAATCCCCTTTTGTGGGCAGGTAAAGGATCAGATTTAAAAAAGTATACAAAATGATAGGTAAAGACATCAAGCATCTATAAAAAAATTTTTTATTGATTTGTTTATCTTTAAAAAAAATTAAAAAATTTCGAAAATTAGCGATTTTTAAATTTGTAATTTTTTTGGAGGTTTCCCCCATTTACGGGGAACGAGGGAAATTTTTTCAATTTTTGAGGGTAATGTCTTCGACTAGATACGATTTGTGATCTTTTCAGAAAGAAATCGTTCGGTGAGAACTGAAAAAAAGTGGTAACAGACACAATTATAATAAAACATCATAGTAAAACCAATATCTTCTCAGCTTCGCATCGAAGCTAAAATTAGTGGTGATATAAAAAATCTAATTGTTGATTTGAAATTAAATACAATTTAATACAAAAAAAAGTAAATTAATCAAAAAAACCACATAGTAAAATTAATATCTTAACATTGAAGCTAAAAAAAACACATCATAGTAAAATTCTTAGCTTCGCATCGAAGTTAAAATACATTTTCTGTGCAAATGAAAATTGCAACTGACATAGAAACAGGAATACATATACTAAAGGTATTCTTTAAGCGGCAAAAACGGATACACCTAACTTCATAAAGATAGATATCATGAGACAACCTATCTGACGGAGATAAGACAAATTATTAACTCAACCAAACAAGTAATCATGTTGTCATTTTAACTTTGGAAATTATTCTCATTTTTATACCTACGCGGGGCGAAGAGTACGGTCGGGAAATCATTGGTGATAAAAATAGCAATACCCACTCCTCACCATCAGTCATAACTTTAAATTGTTAATAATTTCTTATAAACTGATACAAAAGTTGTTATCGACCAGACATTTTCTTATTTACATTATTTTCGATTTTATAAGTTAAATAATAATATATGTTGCTATTTGAAAAAATAAAGTTGTAATCCCTGTAAGTTATAAGAAATTATTATAAAAAGTAATTATTAGCTGATAAATAAAAAAATATATTTAACTAAAATAAATAAAAAAATTTTTTTTTATATTATATTTTTTTTGCGAGTAATCGAGTGCTTTATGATAAACCGAAAACTCTGTGAGTTGTCTATTTTGGTCTGTGTTAGCAAACGTGTCACCACTCCGATCATTGAACCCGGCTATTAGTGGCAAGCTAAGTGGAAGAGAAATTATATTTTCAATATTCATCCATGAAAATTGACAAAATAACAGGTTCTTCATAAACATTTGTTATAATTATCTTCGATGTATCTAAATTAATGTTAAAATAATTTTAACAATTATTTAAGTGATAATATTTTTATATTATATGGAAATAACGAACACCGAGAATCTATTATTCCATTTAATTTACTTCCACAGATCAGGGGTCAATGATCGAAAAGATGACACTACTGATAAAGCTAAAAGTCCATATATTTAAATATATATGTCTTTGTGATGAATTATGTAAAATCGTATTATGAACTAGTTTGCACTTTAGTGTAAGTTTTTAATGTTATTCTGTTAAGAAATCCTGCCATCGGATAATCAAACCTTGTTTAACCATTCTAGTAGGGTAATAATTCTCTTAAATAGTTAGCGATGTTTGAATTTTTAGTCATGATAACCTTTCTTTTTGTTTATTCAAATTTTTCCTAAATAGCGATGTTAAGTAGAAAATTATCTGGAGACCAAAAAAAAGTAATAACCCTTCCCTTCCTTATAAAATTATTTTATGGTTATGCCACTGAAACATTCTATCTATAATCTTAGTCATAGTTAATCAATTAACTTATATTATATATCATAGATATTATTGTAATAATATTTGTAATAATATTATAAGTTTTTTTTTGACCGAATATGTCAAAATAACACCCAAAGTCCAATTACTCTTTATACTGCTGTTATCAAATTTATTCGGTGGCGATTTGTGATAATTGTTATCCGGCGGCATTATCGATAACACTTCGCTTAATCATGTTTTTTTGTAACTATACTATTATAGGTAAGTGTTATAAACTGAAATATTATACTTTGCAGGTCGTTTTAACTATAGTTAAAGGTTAAATTTTTGAACCTATAAATTTAAGTAATTACTTTAAATTTATTTTTCAGACAATTATCTACTATGATGCTTTAATTGTAGAATTTTACTTCCGTTTAATAGTTTTTGTAGAAAAAAAGTTCGTTTATATTTTTTTAATTAACGGTTTTAAAGTATAATGATTTTTGGATAGCAGTCGAATTAAATTCAATCCACGTATAATTTTCTATTACTATAGTCCACAACTATGTTTTATTTCACTAAAGAAAAAATACTTTCATCGGCCCAATTGAAAAAATTAAGCGAGCATACATATAAATGTGAAAGTCGCAGCTTAACAGACTCTTACATTCAACCATTTTGGAATTGGCTTGTGTTACAAACACCTATTTGGTTAGCACCTAATTTAATTACACTCATTGGACTAATTGTTAATGTTGCTACTACATTAATAATCATAAACTATAGTCCTGACTCAAAGTCTGAGGTGAGTTACTAAAATTTAAATTTTTTAATGTAATTTTATATCTGCAGCTAGAGCAATGACACAAGTTTTTTTTACAAACAATTGTTATGCTTGACATGTCATAGTCATTTTAAAGGTTTTTTTTTTTAAAAAAATTCTATCTAGTTATCTTACTATTTGAAAATTCTAAAGGTTCTCTTATATTGTGATAAAACCATTTGGTCGTACCACAATCTGTTATTATAAATAATTAAATGGTAGTCATAGCTCTTAAAATTTTTTTTGAATACCTCTTAATTGATAATATTTCTACAAAATATTAAAGGAGGATGTAATAACTATGTAAATTGTTAAGTAAAAAGTGATCAAATTTTACAAGCTATCTCTTTGTTTGGAATTTTATTCTTATTATTATTTAATTCATAGAATATTTTTATACAGGTGGTTTACTATATTATGACAAATTTAATAATTTTAGATCTATTAAATGTTTTGAATTACTCAAAAAAAAAATTTTTTGGGGGTTATAGCTTGTTCTAGTGTAAATTTAAATAATGCATGCTCCACCCGCATTACATACCTACTAAATATATTTAAAATGCTTGTAACTCAATAAATACTTGTCCTAAAATTGTTCATTAACCATTCAAATTTACCAAAAGAAAATCTAAAAACTGCTATATTGAAAAAATATAAAAAATTTTTTACTATTAAAAACAAATAATAAAAAACGGTAGCACAGTGGGGTGGCAGCATAGTGGGGTCATGGCATATTTGGGTCCAGTATAGATGATATCTGACAGTGATTAAAATCACTATCATAAAAAACGCTTCGATGCAAATCTCTAGATAGTGTTTAATTAAAAAATTTGTTATAATAGCATATTTTTGCATATGGTAGCCATTTGCGCATAGAAGATAGGTCGTCGGGACAAATTTTTTTTTTTTCATTTTATAATACATAAAATAAGCTTTAATTTGATATATGTTTGAAGGACGCAGTATTTCCGGAACATTTTCAAAAATTAAGTTGAAAAAATTAATTTTTGTAAAAAAGTTGCTATTTTAAATCCCCCCCAATGAGCAGATTAAGTGATAGATTTTCAAAAAAATGATATCAAATGAAAGGGTTTATCTAAGGATTTAGTATAAAAAAAATGTATGCAGATTTGTTGATTTTTCAAAAAGTTATGGAAGTTTTAAGAAAAAAAAGTGAAAAAATTTCGAAAATTAGCGATTTTTAAATTTGTAATTTTTTTGGATATTTCCCCCATTTGCGGGGAACGAGGGAATTTTTTTCAATTTTTAAGGGTAATGTCTTCAACTAGATACGATTTGTGATCTTTTGACGTATTATTGAAAGAAATCGGTCCAGTGAGAGCTGAGAAAAAGTGGCAACAGACAAAAAAAAAAAAAAAAAAACACATCATAGTAAAATTAATACCTTCTCTGCTTCGCATCGAAGCTAAAATATGATTTTAGTGTAGTCTAAGAATGAATAAATTATTAAAATAAAAAAAAAGTAACCAAAAATATTTAGTAAATGAAAAGTTATTAAATTTTTTAAAACATAATGGACCACTGTATTATGAAAATGTAAAAATTTAATCATTTTGTAATATATTTTTATGGAAAAGGTTCAAAGTATTAGGTCAAACTATGGCCCAGGCTGTAGTTCCACTAATAAAAAATAAATATTTTAATTCTCTAGAAAAAAATTATATTTAGTATATAACATATAGGGTCATATTTTTAATGTTAGCCACTTAATTTCATTTAAAATAATAATTATGTTAAGAAAATTATTTTTTTGTATTTTTTAGTTACATATACTTCTTTATTTACCAATTTTTAATTCAATCTCTACCTTATAAGAGTGTCAACTTAATTGTTTGAAATGATAACATAAATATTTAAATAGCTTAAAAAATAAAAAATAATCTAATTAAAAAAATTACTTATTGATAATAATTTTTGACCCATTATTTAAGAAGCTATTACAATTTTAAAAGACTGGTAGTGGAGACATGGATTACAAGACTTATTGTTAACCATTCCTTGGTTGGTTACTTTTAGTATATCCAGGATATCTAGATGATATCAGATATTTAAATATATTATAAGCTAGAAATTCTTAAAAGTTTAACTACTTTGTTGTTAATGATTTTATATTACCATTTATGTGACTTTTTCAATGATATATGAATTTTAATTAGTTTTGAAAAATACTAATATCTACACAATATTTCAGGTTCCTAGATGGGCAAGTTTTTTATGTGGATTAGGGTTATTTGTATATCAAAGTCTTGATGCTATAGATGGAAAACAAGCTCGGAGAACTGGTTCATCTACTCCATTAGGTGAACTCTTTGATCATGGTTGTGACTCCATTTCTACTAGTAAATGAATTATATGTTTCTCTTATTTTATTTATTTAAGAAAAATAATAATTATTTTTCTATAAATTTTAATCTTATTTTCAATAATTAAATCTAATTTTTTTATACTATTCAAACTAAAAAATTAAAGAAATACTAAAAATATATGAAATTAACATTTTTATTTACATGGATATGTAGTATTGTTTTAAGACATAGGATAGTGTAGATAGTATAGGATAGGTGTTAAATTGGTTAGATGAAAAGATATGTAACCTTATAACTTAAATTTTAAAAATTTTCCAAAATGAAATATTATAATCTAATTGGATGTTTAATAGTATTCTTTACAAAAATTAAAAATCAAATATAATAATTTTTAGCTTTGATGTGAAGCTGAGAAAGTATTAATTTTTATGTCTGTCATCACTTTTTCTCAGCTCTGACCAGATCATTTTCTTTTAACAATATGTCAAAAGATCACAAATTGTATCTAGTCAAAGACATTGTCCTTCAAAATTAAAAAAAATTTCCACATTTAAAAATGAAGGAAATTTCCAAAAAAAATACAATTTTTAAAATTGGTAAATTTTGACATTTTTTTCACTTATAACTACCATAACTTTTTGAAAAATTACCAAAAAAATTTTTCTTATTTTTCCTTTTATGATATTAACTTTTTTATAATTTTATTTATTTATATTTATAGTCATCTTTAACAAACCTTTATTATGTCTTTTTCAAAAATTTTCTTGGAGTTCTATTTAAGTGTTTTCTAGATCAACATTATGATTGGATATACCGTCTTTATTATTCCATTTATCTATTTATTTATTTTTAGTTTTTATTACATTATCAACTTGTATTTCTGTAAAATTGGGTGAATACCCTTCTTGGATGTTTTTTCAAAGTTTGTTTGCTATTGGCTTATTTTATTTTGCTCACTGGCAAACCTATGTTTCTGGTAAGTGTATAAAAAATGTATGTTTTTGATTTAAAGTATTTAATTATCAGATATATTATTAGGTACTTTGCGATTTGGAAAATTTGATGTTACTGAATCTCAATTAGTTATCATAACCTTGCATTTAATGTCAGCTATTTTTGGAACCGGTGTTTGGGATTATGAAGTATGCTATGCTAATTATTTTATATGTCTAACATTCAGATAATTTGGAATTGTATTTTTTTAGATTCCATTTTTTCAAATGAAACTAAAATTTATGTTATTATTAACAACTATGGTCATATCCATAATTTTAGCTAAGTCGAATCTCAATGTAATACTTACTGGTGGTATTGGTAAAAATGGATCTTCAGTTGCAGTGAGTATATATTATTTTTATTATAACTGAAGTACTTTTATTAACTCATACTAAAAATATAGTTATATATAGAATGACCGTTTTATCATAAATCACACGATTACTCTTAAAATAATTACAATATTAAATAACAATTTTTTTTTTTATTTACATATATTTATCCATTTATTATTTATTAATTACTTTATAAAATAATCCCTTATGACTTATCTGGGTGTCAAATATATTTTTTCAAGTAGAAACATACATATTCAACTAGTAAATAAAATATAAAATGATATAATCAATAGAATGATTGATTGATTAATAAAAATTTTAGGATCACTACTTTGAAGGTTATTAGCATTTTGATACCTAGACAGGAGAACTGAGCTCGAGGAATATCTTTTCATAAAAGTAGTAGTACCTGTGTCTCACTTCCAGTTAATACTATACAATTTTAATAACTTCTGTAATACTGGTTCAAAAGTTATTATTAACCATTCATTTTCTTAATTAGATCATTTTCTATTTTTCTATTTCATAATTGTCTATTTTATAAACTAGTTCAATATGTATTTTACCATTTGAAAAAATAAAATTGCTATTCCCATAAGTGTAAAGGATGATTCTATAAAGTAATTATTAGATGATAAATATATGAAATCAAACACTTTTTTTTAATATTGTAAGGTAATGCAGAGTAAGATGGTGAGGTTAAGCTTCTATGATTTTACTTTACTTCTGTGAACGGATTTAAGGTCTGAATTTTGCATGAGAAATACATCTATATGTAGCCTATCACGACAATTTTTCAATTTCCCCTCTAATCTTCTTATGAGTAAAATTTGTCATTTTTGTCATCATTTTCCACCTATGGGGTTAGATGACGAATGGATTGGGGTAAGATGATGAACAATACTTAAGATTAAATAAAATTATAAATATAATATAAGAAATAAAATTTATAAAAATAACTTTAATAACTTTTTATTAACATAAAGCATTTTTTGTTAAACACATTAAGTATCATAACATCATAACATTTAAGTAATCATAAAAATACAAAATTTTAACATTTTTTGACCATGTTAACAAAAAAGTATTTTAAACTTGAAAAATAATATTGATAGGAACTTTAAATGCAGTAATCACATAGTTATTTGGTCAGTGTGATTATTGATTGTGAAAGACCAATTTATGTTTTAATTTCTTATTCTGTGACTTTTGTTTTTTGTTGTCCTTTTCGATCAATCTTTTCTGACTCTTTCTCTTTTTGCTCCTTTTTTTTTTTTGTTCAAGCGCTTCTTTTAAATAGTTAACAAAATTGGCAGCTGTTATCCATCCTGAAATATGTGGTACTGCTACTGTATTCGAAAGGGTATCTTCTAGAAATATTGGATTTATTCTCACCCTGGGATAGATAAAAAAATAGAGGCATGAAATTTCCAGCAACGCTCATGGCATACATATACGTCACTGTGACTTAACGTTTGATTGACGAAATATTTATCATTTGGAGAGGACCAATGGGGTTAATGACTAGGAGTTTTTATTACTACCATGGAAAATTGTAACTCGTCAACATTGTAGATTTGTTCAGCTGTGAAGGAGTATTTTAATTTGACTTCTCTAAGCAAGTTAAAAAAATGACTAAAGTTGATTCGATTAAATGCCATGAGTCTAACTGATGTAGACTCAGGTTTTTTTAATGTTGTTAGCTCACATTCTATCATAATATATTTGACAAAACTTTCACTAGCATTTTTTTTTCTGCATTATGAATAATTGACTAGTTTATGATAAACCAATCAATCATACTTTATGTTTACATTACTTTTTATTTTGTATTTTAAAATGCAATTATGTGATTAAACAAGTACAATTGTTATTCATTTAATAATAATATTTATAAGGCAAAAGTGTTACAAAAAGAAACAATAGTATAAATAGATTTGATGAAATTAAAAAATGTAGATCAAAGATAAGTTATTAAGACTGGTTAAATTAGTGCTAAATAAATTTAAATTTAATCATTACATTCTTGAAATATTCTCCATAAATTAGATTGTTGTTAAATCTATAACTTTGTTAGTATAACCAAATGTAAAATGTTGGAAATGCACGTAATCAAACAATTGAAACATTAAGGAACAGTGCTCAACATTTCAGAATAGACTATTAGGTTGATAGTTTAGTTAAAAATACACAAAATATTTAAACATTTTCTTATATTATCTAATGCTTCTTATCAGGATTCAATCAATCTAAAAAATGATCATTTTTATTTTAAATAGTATTAATAATTTTTACAATACATATTTAATCTTTGGATGCTAAGTGGTTTAATTGTTTGTATTTTTTAATGCTGCATACAATTCTGAAGTTCGTTTTTTCTCTATCACACCATTTTAGCTTTATATATATATATAAAGCTATATATATATATATATATATTTATATTTATAGATTTATGAGGTATTTACCTATCATTTTGTATACTTTTTTAAATCTGATCCTTTACCTGCCCACAAGAGGGGATTCAAAATGACAACTTTTTTACAAAAAATTAACTTTTTCAACTTAACTTTTGAAAGTGAACCGGAAATACTGACACTTTTATATATAACTTAAATTAAAGCTAATGTAATATACTTTATTTTGGAAAAAAAAATTTCGGACTTTATTTTGTCTTCATGGTGAAAATGTCTACCGTATGCTATTTTTGTGTTAAAATTTTCGATTTTGTATTTTATTTTATTTTAAAATAGCTTACAAAAGTTTTTGAGATAGAAAAAATTTTTAAATCGTTTGATTTTTATCTCGTTTAAATTCAATAATTTTAATAATAAATATCAAGGACTCCATCACTGTAGTCCCCCCTCAATGGAAAAAATTTCTTATTCATATTAAAGTTTTTACTATGTGATTTTTTTGTTATGGCTCTCATTTATTTTCTCAACTCTCACTTAACCAACTTTTTTTGACTGCATCAAATGTTCACAACTAATATATTCAATTGAGTAAACTTTTTTAACAACATTTTGATTGGTTTTTTTAGTTAAAGTAAATCATTAAAATTAATTATGTTCTGAATATTTCAATTGTAGAATATTTTTAATCGCCAAAAATTACTCAGAAATGATTACTATGATTTCTATTTAAGTGACCTATTACGATAAAAATGTAAAAAAATCTAACTTTTCTAAAAAATATGCTGTAAATAGTAATTACAAAATTTGCTGACAGTATATTAATCTTAACAATTTCATTTATATCTATTTAATAATGTTTATGAAATATTAATAATTTCTATGTAATTCTTGGTGTTTAAATAGATGATATAATTGAGTTATTCAGAACTATTTTCCTTATAGTTATATCATATAGTTTTGAACTAATTATAAATATTTTAAAATTAATTTTTGTTTTTATTACAGGGAACAAGTGTATTATCACCTGCTATTCCTCTAGTTTTAGTAATGCTACCTGGTTACATTATTAGCTGCAAAAGTACTGAAAATATTTATGAAAATCATCCAGTGCTATACATAATGTCATTTGGTTTAGTTTGTGCTAAAATAACTAATAAACTTGTGGTATTTATTTTTTCATATTTTTAATTATATAAGTATTGTTACATATTTACCTTAAATGTTCATTATTGCATGATTTGTAGTATAATTTTTTGAAAACTAGTTAAATTAATAATGAAAATAGAAATTTTTTAAAATTTTTTTTCATTATAAGTTATGTTTTATGAGTATTTGACACTATTTTATGTTTTTTTAGAAATAAATGATACATTTATTAATATATTTAATACATAAAATTAAATAAACTTAAAAAACATAATTACTTTTAGCATAAAGAGCTCAATAATAATCAATTAAAGTGTAAAAAAATGTGTATGCCTTATTAATAATGAACAGAAGTTTAGGTAATAGGTAGTTATTGTAAAAGTATTATTTGTATGGCAAATTGTAGAAATCATAATTATCTAATAAGTGAACTTATTATTCAAGTTATATATAGGTCGAACAGATTGAACTGACTATTCCTATAATGTTTGATACAATTAACATTTTGTTGTATATTATACTTTAATATAAAGTATGCAATTTTGAACTGTGTCGAAATCATATTTTAGCTTTGATGAGAAGCTGAGAAGGCATTAATTTTACTATGATATGTTTTTTTATTATTTTTTTTTTTGTGTCTGTTACCACTTTTTCTCAGCTCTCACATACTGATTTCTTTCAATAATACATCAAAAGAACACAAATTGTATCTAGTCGAAGACTTTACCTTCAAAAATTGAAAAAATTTCCTTTGTTCCCTGTAAATAGAGGAAATCTCCAAAAAAATATATATCTAAAAATCATTTATTTTTGAAATTTTTTCAATTTTTTTTTACATAAAACGCTATAACTTTTTAAAAAAATGTATGGTTTAATACAATTTTTTTTTATGTTAAATACTATTTATATTTTTCTTTCAATCAACATACTTTTTTTTAAAATCTGACCATTTCCTTTTATATAGGAGAGTTTAAAAATTAAAAATGCATGTAGAAAGTAGAACTTTTTCAAATTAATTTTTGAAAATGTTCCGAAAATACTGACACTTATATATATTTCTTACATTAAAGCTTATGTATTATACTTAAATATGAAAAAAAAATTTCGAACTTTATTTTGTTTTCATAGTGAAAACGGATATCAAAGTTAATAAAAAAAAATACTATTTTTGTAAAATATATTTTTAACTTTATAATGCTATTACTTTTAGAAAAATGTATAGATCAATACAATATTTTTTTAATAATATATATACACACTTTTCATCTGACATCTTTTTTTGAAATCTTACAATTTCGTTTTATTCAGGAGTGACAAAATTTTAAACATACATATAGAAACTAGTACATTTTCAACTTAATTTTTGAAAATATTCTGGATTTACTGTAGATGATGCTATTGAAATATCCAATAGATTTTAACTTATTAATAATAATATAAAAAACCCAGCACAAATGGGTCGCGGCACAGTGGTGACGTGGCATAGTTGGATCAAGTATAATGATATCTGACAGTGATTAAAATCACTATAAAAAAAAATGCAAATTTTGATTCGATGCAAATCTTTAGATAGTATTTAATTTTAAAAAATTGGTTGATTATTCCAAAGACTACATGATTTGCTATTTCTTTATTAATATCCTGATTAAGATAAAGTATGTCGAATGAAAGAGGGATATAAATACTAATTCTCATGAAAGAATTGTATTGATCCATACAGTTTTCAAAAAGTTATAGCATAATAAAGTTAAAAATGTAAAATACAAAATCGAGAATTTTCACACAAAATAAAGTTCGAAATTTTTTTTCTATAATAAAGTACATTACATTAGCTTTAATTAAAGATATATATAAAAGTGTCAGACTTTCCAGAACACTTTCAAAAGTTAATTTGAAAAAGTTAATTTTTTGTAAAAAAATTTTCATTTTAAATCCCTCCCTGTGGGCAGGTTAAAGGGTTAAATTTATAAAAAAAATATACCAAATGATAGGTAAGGATATTATGGATCTATAAAAAAAAATTATTTTAATTTGGTTATCTTTAAAAAAAATATGGCAGTTTTAAGTAAAAAGAATTGTAAAAATGTCGAAAATTAGTGGTGATACAAAAAATCTAATTGTTGATTTGAAATTAGTACGAAAGATGGAATAATAGAAGTATCTTTTTGACTCTGATGTCAAATTCTTGCAGATCATTTATTCATAATGAATAATAAATTGTTATCCAAAAAGTTTTGTGTTAAGCCCTTCAATTTTTATACACGTTTGCCATAAAAGTAATAAATACTCTACAATTTTTTATAAATTCTCCGAAAAAATTACAATACTTAATTATTAAATATCAATCTTATGCTATATTTAAATGCTATAATAAATATCTATTCATATATTATAGTTCCAAATTAAAAAAACTACTAATCAGGAATAATAAAGGAAATAGGATTTCATTTAGCTTTTGGTTTAATCCACCAATTTCTTAAAATTATACACTATCTACAGATTTGCATCAAATCATTTCTTATGATAGTGATTTTAATACTATTAATGCCCAACTATGCTGCGTCCATATTGTACCATGACTCCAATGTGCTAATGTTTATTTACTTAAAACTGTCATAACTTCTTGAAAAACAATATAATACAATTTTTTTTTTGGTAATATATACTATATAATTAATACTATTATATTATGAAGTGATAATGTTGCATTTTTAAAATCTATAATTATATTAATTTTAACAAGTGTAAATATTTTAAATGACTTCTGTAAAATGATAAAATTTGATTTAAGACCATTAATTTACCCCCTCACACAAATTTATGTGTTTATGTTCATAAAAGAAGAATCTAACCCAACTGTGTATTTTTTATAAATTAAATAATAATTTACATAAATTTTTAACTGACAAAATAACTTTTTATCTGATGAATTAAAATTTTGAATAAAACTTATTTGTCAGCTTAACTGTTCATTTAAGACCAACAATATCATAATCTCTTACTATTTATCTCTCATAATATATTATCCATAAGAATTTGTTCTGATTTATTATCCATAAACCCTTGACCGATACACTATTCAATCAAATTTATATTACTTAATATAGTCTTTTTGTGTGATACATTTTTAGTCTGTTCGTAATATGAATTATACCATTAGACTAATAAATTAGTATATTTATTAACTATATTTTACAGATAGCACATATGACTAAGAGTCCTATTGAGTATATTGACTCCACTCTTATTGGACCAGCAATGCTATTTCTAAATCAATATTTTAACTGTGTACTTCCTGAGTACTATGTTCTTTATATGTGCTTGGTAATTACTTAAATTATGTGTACAATTCCACTGTAATAAATAATAGTAATTTTTATATTATGTTGGCAGGTGTGGACAATTGTTGATCTATCACTGTATTCAATATTTGTTTGCAAAGAAATATGTGATCATTTGAGAGTTTATTTGTTTTACATAACTCCTATAGTAGTTTCAACTAAAACTAGTGCATCTAGTAAAATTGGAGGATTATCCAGTAAAAATGGAAGTAATATAGGTGGTTCAAATCATCATTTTAAGTATCCATCTACTATGACTAGTTTTATTTATCCATCTAAAATAAAGTAATTTTATTAAAAATTATTCATCTCATTATTGACTACTGGAAAATCTAATCATGTTCAAGTATGTTTTGAATTATCCATTTTTTCAATTTTGTTTTGTTTTGTTCATCTATTTAAAAAATATACATTTATAATATTGCTATGAATATATGTATATTTCATAGTATATACAATTTATAGAATATTACTAATATGTTTAAGAAGCAGTATAATTTATATTTGTGAGTCAAATATATAACATTATGAATGATTAATGAATCAATGATTTTGTAGGAAAATATAAAGTTCTATAAAAAACTTTTAATTAGACATTTATCTTTTGTAAAAAATCATATTTATAAATATATTTGTAAAAAATCTTTATTTAGTATATATTATTTTATTAAAATGTAAATAAAATAAAATTGTTGTTATAATTTAGATATACAATCTAATGTATCTGAAATAAATGATATCTTGCCAAACATCTTCTATATATGTATATATATATATATATAACAGTTATTTTTATACTTAAATTTTTGAATTAAGTACAGTGAGGACCTACATAGTGGTGACTAGAATATGTTAGTATATATTATAATTGACAGTGATTAACAACACTATCTATTTACAAAACGGGACTAGCTCAATATAATAAATATTTTATAATAATGAATAGATACATGAATACATGAATAGATATAATAGTAATAAAAAAAAATTTAGATTAAATGATACAAAAAATACATTTATTTTTCATACCAGCTTTTAAATATAAAATTAAGGATCCTCGATAGAATTATGCATAGTTTTTAAAATTGGTTAATTATAATAAGTCGATAGAATGTAAAGGAACATGAAAAAAATAAAGACAATGTAAAACAATGACGTAACTTTTATATTTATTAAATATAAAAAATTAGGAGAGTTAAGTAATCCATATAACTATTCTTGAAGAAAACTGAAACTCGCTTGAGTTTTTCTTTTTTAGTTAAGGAATACAAACATAGTTTTTCAGACACTTTATAAAGCCAATAGTTTTACAGCACAACATTACATCAACGTGATCATTAAAATTTAAATCACTGTCAAAAATTATATTTAAATTATTTTCTGTAATACTTAACGAAAACAGTGGAGTATTATTCATAAAGTAAGGTAGAGTAAAATTTAGATGCTCAAGTGATAAACTTTTTTAAGTTCTTGAAGCGACAACCATTTAGGGAGTCGACTTTTATAAATAATTATAAATCAAAGGACATGGCTAGGTTTTATATAACTTTTTATACTATTAATGATCAAGGATAAAAGAAGAGACAAGTCGCCTTGTTGAACATCATCGAAATGAACATAACATATTAATACATGTTTTCTATCAATTAAAATTGAACAAAACCATTATAATAAGGGTTCACTAAAACCAAATCAATATAGTACGTGGTTTAGTACATGATTATAATCGTCAGATAATTAAGTAAAAACAGTATTAATACAAAATCTATCAGGCTATTACTGATAAAAGCATCTGAAACATAGTTAGGAAAAAAAATATTACAAGTAATTAAAGACGGAATTCATACTTAATTGCTCCTCGGCAAACACAGTATTTATAAAATGTAGAATTTAATTAAAAACCAACGACTTAAAAAGGTTTAAAATGTGATATAAAATAGAAATAAGCCTGTAGTTACAAATATTTGATCTGTCACTAGACTAAAAGCCGGCGTAACAGAACTAATTTTAAATATATCAAGAAATACCTGTATTGAGGGATTTATGAAATAGAAGCCACAAATGATAACATAAAATAAGAAAACTCATTCAAGTTAATAAATTTTTTCGATGCCGAGAACTTGACAATTGATTTTAATATTATTAATTTGCTCCAGTTCCACACGCATTTTTGACCAATCTTCTTGTAATGGGATAGGTAAAACGTCATCCCAGTTCATTTTTTGTAACCATAACTGTTGCATAATCATCTTGACCTAATTATTACTGGAGCGATTAATCCAAGTGGATCGAATAGCGACGATATTTCGGATAGAACTAGTCTTTTTGTGAATCGACCAGATATTTTTATTGGTTTTATATTGTATTGATAGCAATCGTTCTCGTGATTCCAATATAATCCAAGGATTTTAGTAATATTTTTATTAGGCTCTTTTACATCGTCATCAACTTTCCTTAAATATAAAGGTAATTCTCTTAACAATAGTGGTTCATTGCTGCATCATTGTCTCAGCTTGAAACCAGCACTCTCCATGATTGATATAAAATCATCTCTTAACTTGACCGCCTTTTCTAAAGTATCTGAACCACTTAGGAGGTTATCCATATAAAAATCTTCATGCAACGCTCTATAAGCTTCCGGATAATGATCAGCTTTTTCTTCGGCTAGTTTTCTTAGACACCCGGTTGCTAAGTACGAGGAAGTCACAACTCCGTATGTGACTGTTTTTAGTCTAAATACTTGTACAGGTTGTTCAGGATTTTCACGCCATTAAATGCGTTGGAAATCTCTTTGATTTTCAGAGGCCTAGATTTGCCTATACATTTTTTCAATGTCCGAACAAAAAACATATTTATGCGTTCGAAATCTAATCATTATTTCGGTTAGTTCTTTTTGTATACACGGACCCTTAAATAAAACGTCATTAAGACTTACCCCGTTGTTGGTTTTACAAGAAGCGTCAAATACCACTCGTAGTTTAGTTGTATGGCTACTCTCTTTATAAATTGCATGATGTGGTATATAATATGTGTTGTTAGTACTTTCGTCTATCAAAATTCAATATTTCATAATAAAACGTATATCTATATACATCAAATGTTATATTTATAAGACAATAAATATAATTTTCTGGATTTTTTTAAAAAATGTTTATGATTTTTAACTGATTTTTTTTAATAACTAGTTTTAAAGATAAAATAGTGCTACAAACACAAAAATGTGTTGTTATTATTAATATTTTTGCTCAAGTTTAAAAGGTATGATGAGTTGTATCATAGGCTAGGAACAAAGGAAAGCGAAAAAAAAGTCTATAGCGAACTAATATATATTATATAGCGAACTCAGCCTGCTTAGAGTACCCCCGCTATCTAGTTATGGTGCAAAGTCTAATTACTGGAACGAGTGCCGGCGGTGAACCTTCTCTCTCGTTTCTGACGTCTTATGTGTTCTTACACTGTCCGCTGTCTTACTTCTTTTTATAACAAAAGGTATTTTGTATTGTCGTAACACAAAACACAAAGTAAAATGTAGTGGAGTGTGTACGAAGATGATGTTGAGTCTGTTGACTAGGTATTCACGTGCATGTAATCATACAGTAGTTACCGTGCTCGGCTGACACTCCGAGTTATTTGTGGATGCCGAAAGGCCGTTCTTATAAGAAGGGAATAAGGGTAACACCTAGGTATGAGGTGCAAACGAAGTGCAAGATATAAATATCAGATGTAGTCAAAAAAGAGCTCAAAGTATGAGCTGCAGACGAAGTGCAAGACACAAATACTAGGCTTACCAGGTAAGGAAGATAACAGAGTACTAGATGCAGACGAAGTGTAAGACACAAGTACTCTGAAATGTCGAAGATGAGAGTAAGTGGTGAAAAAAGGAAAAACAAAAACTTGACTTTATGCAGTAAGAGATTGGTGAATGACACAAAGCACTAGAGTCGACTGATGAAGATGGCCAGGATTTTTGGATTTAAATAGTAATTTGACGATTACCAATTTCGCAATAAATATTAATCGTCAATTCATCAGTCTCTAGAAGCGGATGCGCTGTCTGTATTTTATTACAATAATTTTTTACGATAATGGTACATGACATCATCACAGTATATTATACAGTATATATGTGAATAAGGAAACGGGTTTGAGTAGAAAACTACTATTGTTAATGTACACCTATATGACTTATTAATTAAAATCTGCAATATTTACTTTCCTAATCAAATAACAGTCAATGAAACAGACCTAATAAATATATTTAATTATTTGCCTTTGCTATACTTAATACTAGGTGACTTTAATAGTAATAATTTAACGTGGGGTTCAAGTAAAATAGACAATAGATGTAAAGATGTAGAAAAATTTATAGAAGAACAAAACATTATATTACTTAAAAACGGTAAACTCATAAAAATCAGTCCATGGGTAATTTTTAACAATAAATTTAACGATGGCAAACTCAGCATTAACTCAAAGATTGGAATGGTTGACTTCAAGCAAGTCTCACTAGCGTTTATATACCCATAATAATGCAGTTCATATCAAGACAAAAAAACATACACCAAATAAATGTAACGAAAGGAACCTAAAATCACTAAAATGGGAATTTTTATTATATTATATTTATTATTATATTTAATTATATTCATTACAGTTAGAAAACCTCTCGGACCTTAAAACTAAAAATATAGAACAGTTAACTAAATTTCGAAGTGAAGTAATTATAGAAATAGCTGAATTAACCATAGGTAAGAGCACTATAAAAAACATGAAACCTAAAATATCTTTGTAAAATAACGAAATAAAAGAAACAATCAGATTAAAAACACCGTGTTCAATAAGTTTAAAACATTAGATAATTTTATCGAACTTAAACGAGTAAGGGCCTGGGCCAAATTATAGTAGTATAATCCTATACTACTATAATTACCAAACCAATGCCAAATTTATATGGTAAAAATGCGGTCGTTGACAAAACTTAATTGTGACAGAACTATTAAATTAGTTACTTAAAATGCTATTTTTACCAAAACTGTAACGATAATAACTATGCAACATGAGGATAGTTGATGTGAGCGTAGATGATGTGGGAGATCGTGTCAAGTGGAAGTTTAGGATAAGGGTTGCCGACCAAAAGTAGTTGGGATTTAGGCGAGGAAGAAGAAGAAGAAGGCAGTAACGATAATAACTACATTGAAGTGTTTAAAAAATACAAACACGAAATCTAAAAAAATAACTTAAAATCATTAGGTGAACATATATGAGTATTTTAAATACAGTTAAACATGCCAATTGTAATAGTGAATTAGAAACATCAATAAAAAAATGCAAAACTAAGAGTGCCGATTCTGAAAAAGTCCCTTACTCTTTCATACATAATTTTTGTCCACAAGCTCAAGTATTATTGCTATATATAGATGTTCAGTAAGTAAGGAAACGGGTTTCTATTATTTTCATTGTAACAATTGACCTGTTTCCTCACTTACTGAACACTGTATAAATAATATAAAGTTATATGTATAATATATATATTACTTTTGAACTTTATTATTGATAGAGTTGCTAAACCGTAGTCAGCAATAAGAACTAAGCAACCATTGTTGCTTTTAACCTGTGTTTAATTTAATTTAATTAATTAATTTTTTCTTCTATTGTTGCATAATCCTAAAAATAGATATTAGGAGTTTTCCGTGTCAAAATTGACTCCCCATTAAAGAATCGATCCCTGGTAAGTAATTTTTCTAGATCTTTTAATTAAGTTTTTTTATAAGAATTGCATTCATTTAGTATTTTCTTCCATCCGTCTTACCTACACGAAACGCATTCTACTTGAATAACTCGTTTAATTTCCCACTTTTTACTTAAATTTAGTCAAATTAGAAACATTGGTGACAGCAAGTAAAACCAGTGTAATTAAATATAGTAAGTAAGTCGAACGGATTAATAACACTTCCGATATTAGTAATCTAAACCGGTCTTACAGCCTTATTACTCAAGTGTACTATAATGCCTTACTATACGACTTAGCAACTTTGATTCGTCAACGCAGTTGTAAAATAAATTATGGCAAATACTATCGACAGACGACAGCATTTTAAAAAAAGTCACTGATTTATTTAATACTATAACGTCTGAATTACTATATAACTTAGATACCCTTAGGAAAAAATCTTTTTAACTAAATTATTTATTAATGCATTAAAGCTGTGTATCTATTTCAACATTAATATATTATAGTATTAAAATAATTACTATAATGTATTGTAAATAAATTATTAGTTTTTAAGTTAATGTTATGCTTCTGAAGGGAAAGGGCTAAACATTTCTTGATTTAATACCCTTAAATATAGTTGTCTCATTAAAATGTACAGACGAATAAAACTTTGATTGTTGAATTTAATATTAATATTAAAAGTAAATATTATAGTTATTAATCACTTAATTAATGTTCTTAAAAGAAGTTGTAGTGTAATATAAATTAAATTATTTTAAATATGATATCTTCAAATCATCGCATAAATTGTATACTCTTAATGTTAGCCTTTTAAGTTCTATAATATCAAAGTAATAATTCGTCGTGGCATAGAATATTTAATAAGAAGTTTTATTTTTAATATCAATCAACCTTGTGTTTGGCATATCAGGTATATTACGAAGTAGTTAATTATCATATTTTGTAACCTTATAATATTAAAAATGAAATTTATGTGACCTCCATGCCGTTGAAAAATGCACAATGTGCCGTTTTCCATCTCTTGCGTTTGTACTATCGATTTAAGTCTACAATATATAATATACGGGTGGCCCATGTTGTTTTGAAAAAACTAATAACTTATCACTAACTAATTATTATTTTTTCATTATTATTATTATGTTTTAGAATTATATAAGTATACTCAGAAATAAAATTTTTAGAGCATTTAAAAAAAGTTTGTTCAAATAAATATCAATAGTAATTTTATGTAGTATTTTTATGTTTGTGAAAATTTGAATTTTTTATAGGTTTATTTTATGGTATAAAAAATTGAAATGTTTACTGAGAAAAGGACAAAAAATAACTCATTCTTTTCGCGCTAACTATTGGGNTTTTTATAGGTTTATTTTATGGTATAAAAAATTGAAATGTTTACTGAGAAAAGGACAAAAAATAACTCATTCTTTTCGCGCTAGCTATTGGGATTATACAGGGTGATTTTTTTATCATAACCCACTCAATTACTTACAGAATAATAATAATTAAAAATTTTTTTTTTATTATTATCTTTAGTTACACATTATTCTTGAATTATTAACTATGTAATACTTTTTAAGTTCATCCCTTATGCCTGGTAAGGGTGTCAACTTTGTTTTTTTAAATGGTAACACATATTTTTAATTTAATAAAATGTTTGAGTTTTTAATTTAATAACAAATGTCATTTGAATTTTTAATATAACTTTATTCGTTTATTAGATATAAACATTTAAAGTTTCAATTTTTTGAGTTAATATATAGGTATAATACACAAGGGATTACAAATACAGGTAGCTAATTGATTTTTTATGATATTGCTATCATAGTCACGGATTGTTTATTATCAATTATGACTATCAATAGATATACATTCTGTATTGTCAGTTAGTGTATTTATAAACTCACAACAATGTGTCTTACTACCATTGATAATAACAATGCTTTGTACCTGCTAATATCGATGTCATAAAAAACCAATTAGCTACCTGTAATTTTAATCCCTTGTGTATTATACCTATATATTAACTCAAAAAATTGAAACTTTAAATGTTTATATCTAATAAACGAATAAAGTTATATTAAAAATTCAAATGACATTTGTTATTAAATTAAAAACTCAAACATTTTATTAAATTCAAAATATGTGTTACCATTAAAAAAAAACAAAGTTGACATCTTTACCAGGCATAAGGGATGAAATTAAAAAGTATTAAATAGTTAATAATTCAAGAATAATGTGTAACTAAAGATAATAATAAAAAAAAAAATTTTAATTATTATTATTCTGTAAGTAATTGAGTGGGTTATGATAAAAAAATCACCCTGTATATAGGTATGTAATTTTTTTTTTTGAAAAATAACACTAACATGTACTTGTATGTAAAAATACGCTTTACTTCTACCTTTTCTTAATTAGATAGGCAACTTTTAATATTATATAATTCCGTAAAATATTCAAATTTTTACAAAATTTAAAATAATACAGAGATTTAACTATAGAACATTAAAAAATAATTATGCTATATATTTTTTTTATCAAATCTTATATTTGATACAAATGTTACACAGTTTTTGTAAATTAAAAAGAGAAATTATTTTTTTCAACAAATTAAAATAATATTATTTCTGATAATATTTTCGTAGTTCTAAAATATAGTAATATTAATGAAACATAATACATGATATCTAGTAAATCAAAAGTTATCGGTTTTGTCAAAAATTAAAAATTACCCTATAAAGTATTATTTTAAATTAAAAATATATAAAATACAATTTTTTCAGTGGTCAAATTATAGGTGAGATAAGCCTTATATGTCGCATCCGACCAGTCATTCAGATGCGAGTTGTGTTGACTACTTTTAGCACACACGGCTGTATTAGTCATTTAAAGATTGATGGATAGGAAAACTTTTTCCTTTAGTATTTCTTTATATACAATAAAAATGAAACTAAAATTATAAATTTTACATGTTTAATGATTATTTGCACTTTATTATTTTTATTGACATGATAAAAAATAGTAAGCATAATAATTTGTATGCAATGAGCATCGTCTAACTTTTACTGCTACTTGAATCAGCTGCTATGGACAACTGTGGCGTTATTGCTGATTTGCTTGTTTCAGTTGACCGTTTATGGCCAGCAGCAATATATGAAAACACGCATAGTACAGCATAGCATATTTGGCCAGCCTTAAACAAACAAAATAATTTTTACAAAAAATAAGTTAAATAAAATATAATTATACTGCCGATCAGACAACAATTACCAATTTGTTTAATCTATCAACTACATTAATATAGTTATATTCAACTACTTAAAAAATAAACTATACTCCATATATAAAACAATGTATAAATCATTTTTAATTAAAAAAATCAATTTTATAAATAATTATAAAAATTTGATAATTCACAGACAAAAAAGCAATAACAAAGCTAAAGTATTTCAGTAATTTATCATAATAATTTAGCTTTCCGTGAAGATCATTTTTCTCAGCCTCAGTGTTTGCGTATATACAATAGACATGATGCGGTGTAAAGACAATAACATTTCACTAGCCTAAAACAACACACAACTTTACTATAGCTTTAAGAAATTGTAATACATAAAGAGACTACAAATATAAGCATTGAAGTTAGTAAAACTAGCGTCAAATATTTGCAAATTACCATAAAATAACAGAGCTAAGCTAAAATTAAATAAATATATATTTTACACGTGCTTTTTAGAAAGTAACGAACTAAATACTATGGAATGAGCTAAGATTTGACAATTAAATATTATTATAAAAGTAGAATAGAACTGATTATTAACAAAATAATAATACTTTTTGGTTAATTGTGTATAGATAATTTGTTTGTATCAATAAAAAAATTACAATACATTTTAATTTTCCTAAAAAAGAAAATGAATTAAGTCTATTTTCATAATATAAACACATGTAACAGGTAAAAGTGTTTGATATTAATGGTCTAGAACATCAAAATTTGGAAACAGGTTATATAGGTTTAGGGCCTTTAATAAATTATTTTTGTAAAATTATTGATGTTGCATTTGTATTTATGAATTAATAATAATAAACCGTATAAGCAAGCAAGGTGGTATAACTATAAAAACTCAGTCTCCATTCAGTCCTATTTTATGATGAAAAAACAAAGGTAATGTACTAGTTAACGAGAAAATAATAACCTCCAAAGAATATTTGTTTAATTAATGCATAGGATCCATTACTGATAGTTCACCAGGTGGCATAAAAATAATAACTACAAAAAAAAAAACTACAAAAAAAAAAACTTTAAAAAATTAAATAATAGTATTATATGTTAAATAAATATTATATTAATATGATCAAAGACAAATTTATCTAGGTTAATTTTGTGTTGTAGATGATAAGTTCATAAATTATCGTTAAGATTATTTCAATATACAGATAACCCATGTGGTATTGAATATATTTCAAACTAATTTTCAATGAAATTGTAGCTACTGGAAAAAGTCAACTGTTCCTAAACAAAACGAATATATCGTTGAAAAACTTATAACTCAATAAAAATCCTAAATTTTTAAAAGTTACTTATTTTTGCAACAATTAAAAATAATACATAAAAACTGGTATATTAAACAAAATAAGAATACCTGTTTGATATGTAGATTAGGTTACATTTATGAATTACCGTTAATTAAAAAATTAAAAATTGAAAATTTCAAAGAACATTAAGAAAACGTTAATTTACATCTCCATAGTGTTCTTCCAAAAGTGGATTAGTCAAAAAAATAAGATATTGACATTTTTATACGCTAGAAGAAGAGTACTTTCTGTCATGTACTAGTAAATGACAAATTAATATTCGGGAAAGATTTTTTTTTTTATTAAAAATTGTCAATTTACATGTACGATAAATAACATAGAAATTTTAACTTTGTTTTTACTTTTTAGAGTAATTAAGAAAAAAATTACAGTAAAATTCTATAACTCTATGCGAATCTCAGAAGTAATTAATCTTGCAATTAATGTCAGTGCTATAATTTCGTGGCACCAGGATATGTGCTCTGGTATGAGCATATGAGTATGAGTACAAATAATTTAAATTCATATAGAATTTATTACTTAGAATTGTTCAAAACTTTTAGACATCAATTATGGACATGTACATTTATAAAGACAAAATTATTTCACCTATTAACAAGATTAATAACATAACTAAAATTTAATATTTCAGCTATTATTTGTATGCTAGTTTGATGTATTTTTAACATTTCATTTACAATTTAGAAAATACACAATCACAAAGATTAAGCTGTTTGTTGGCTCTAATTATAAAAAAAAAATGTCTATTATATTTATTTATTGAAATTGGTACTTCTACGCGGGTGATGAGCATAAAAAAAAGGATATTAAAAATAATAAATACAACTGTGTATACAAAAACCAATGAAGTTTATATATCATACTATAATTGCTAATCTATTTTGAGTAAATATATTTTTGTCACTCAGTAAAATTAAAAAGTGTACTAACAAAAAAAAAAATATAAACTAGTAATCCCAACTAAATATTGATATTCTACAAGATTGTATGATGGGAACCATAAAATAACTGAATAAAAAAACGTTTTAAATACAAAATTTAGAGTTTTTTTTTATATGCTAATGTAAGAATTAGAAAAAAAATTGAGTTGTGTTACTATTCTTTTCGATAAGCGTATGTATATTTGAGAATAAATAATTTTTTTTTCCTATTTTTAATTCAAACAGACAATATTAAGATTGAATAATGCATTTGATTTTTATGTCTGGTATATTTTTACTAAAATTATTGCTAAATAAAACGTCATGCAAAATATATATCGTACTTGTTGCAATATATACATTTATTGGTTTTATAAATTAGTTTCTTACCATTGGTGATTCGTATTGTCTTTGAATAATATGTTTTTGCTTAGGATCTGAAATACAGAAATGCATTATTTGTTTAGCGCTAACAATGTTAATTTAGTAATTGAAAATGTAATTATGGTTTTTACTCAAATTAATTTTGGATTATTTAAGGTCAAGTATTTTTTTATAAATTATTTTGTGTTCAATAATATTTGAGAAAATATTATTAATTTTTTAATTAATATTATAATCTATGTCACGATAAACGACTTCTATTTTCAACCTTTAATAAGATTTACATAATGTGTTAATTATCTATAAAATTTATGTTATATAAATAAAACAGAGAAATAAATATAAAAAAACAAAGCCAAAACAATTTGCAAAATATATATTATTTATGAAGAAATTTAGTGGTTAATATAATTATTCTATTTATATAACAGTTGAGTATGCAATTTTTAAGGATTCAAAATATAAAATATTTAATTTAAATTTTATTATTTTATTGAATTATTCGGTTAAATAAATATATTAATTACATTTTAGCATCATCCCCTTTAATTTACAGGGCTGTTAACTTATTATTTTTTTTAATGACAACATATACATTTAAATAATTTATAAAGTATAAAATGATATAATATTCTTAATAATTAAGAAAATTATTGGTTAATAACAATTTTAGGCATTATGGTTGCATTTAGGCAAAAATCCTATGGGAAGGATCAAAATCGATAAACAATTTGATTTTAATTTTATTAATTATTACTACTCGCCTTTTATAACGATCAGTGGTAAAAATTATGAGATAATTAATAATAATGACACCATGTATCAAAAAAAGTTTACTCGCTTATTCTCTAGTGCGATAAAATACATTACAGATGAACAAACAATAATACAAATCAAACCCCTACGAATTTGTGACGTTTCAAATAGTTGTTGATTTTTAAATTTATTATTAGTTTTTAAATTCATCTTAATTTATGAGTACATTAATAATGGAGCATATGGAATTATATGTTTTTAAGGTTACTAAATTGTTTATATTGTATCTTTTGGTAATCTCAATAAAAATGATATAATAAATAAATATACCAGGGAAAATTTTTCCCTGTGTCTAGGGGATAAGAATACATCCACTGCCCCTCTACCAGTCGTAAGAGGCGAATAATGAGGTTGTGTCATGTCAACAGCCGGCGTAAAAATCTTTGTCAAAAAAGTATGAGGAATCCTGAACAAAACTTAGGCGGATTGTCCCATCTCGGATGTACGCGGGGATTCACCAGTCATGTATACAGGTCTACCCTACACTTGTAGTGTCAACGGTGTAAGGACATCACCACTTAACTCTAGGCTGGACTCGTGTATAAGGGAGAAAGGTAGATACAAAGAAAGAATAGGTACTTGGAATGTTAGAACATTAACTAGTAGAAGTAGAGAATTAGTAGAATTATTGAAGAGGAAAAAAGTTAACATTTGTTATGTGCAGGAAACTAAGTGGAAAGGAGAGAAATTGAGGGAAATAGGTGAGGGTTATAAAATAATATACTCAGGTAAGTCTAGTACAAAGAATGGTGTAGGAATAATAATGGATGAGGAGATGAAAAGTAAAGTAGTAAAAGTAGCAAGGAAAAGTGACAGAATTATAGTCGTAAAGTTGATATCCGAGGAAAAAAGTGCTGAATGTAATAAGTGCCTACGCACCACAAATAGGATGTGATGAAATAGACAAGGAACAGTTTTGGACAGAGATGGACGAAGTGATGCAAGGGTTACCTGGCAATGAGGATGCAGTGATAGGCGGAGATATGAATGGACATGTAGGTAATGAGAGGAGAGGATATGAAAGAGTACACGGAGGGTATGGTTTTTGTGGGAAAAATGAGGCTGGAGAAAGAATACTGGATTTCGCAATATCGTATGATCTTGCTGTGGTTAATACTTATTTTAGAAAGAAGGAAGAACATTATATAACATATAAGAGTGGGAGTAATAGATCATAGATTGATTATTTTATATGGAAGAGAGAGAGCGTAAAGCGAGTAAAAGATTGTAAAGTTATACCAGGCGAGAGTGTAACTACACAACATAGACTGATAGTAATGGAGTTGTGGTGTACCGGAAAGAGAATAAACAAAAATAGAAGAAACACAGGGGAAAAATCGAAGATCCGGTGGTGGAAATTGAAAGGGGAAAATGAAAAAGAGTTTGTAAAGACGGTAAAAAAGAGGACAGTTTGGAATGTCAAGGGAGACATAAATGATGTGTGGAATAGATTTGCTAGATGTATTAAGAATATTGCAAAGGAGATTGTTGGTCAGAGTAGGAGTAAAATGCAAGGAAACCTGGTGGTGGGATGAGGACGTTCAAAAAATCATAGAAAGTATGAAAAAGCAATTCAAAGTATGACAGAAGAGCAAAGAGAGAGAAGACTGAATGAAGTATAAACGCTTGTGTAAAGAAGCCAAGTCTGCAGTAAGTAAAGCGAAGTTTAAGAGGTATGATAGGCTCGGAACAAAGGAAGACGAGAAAAGGTCTAAAGATTATCATTATATAAGGTGTATAAAAAGTGTTGATAATAGAGAACTCTCGAGTGATGATAATGTGAAAAAAGGTGAAACGAATATTTTGAAAAAATACTGAATGAGAAGTATCTAAAAGAGACATTAGAGTATAACTCGTGGAACGAAGGACTGGTAGATTTAATTAGTGAGAAAGAGGTATGGGAGACTGTGTCATCAATGAAAAAAAATAAAGCAGTAAGACTAGATGAATTGCCAGTAGAAGTATGGATAATATTAGGCGGTGTTGGCATAAGGTGGTTGAAGGAACTTTTAAATAAGATCTTATTTGAATGGAAAATTCCAAATGAATGGAGGAATAGTATTGTAGTGCCGATATTTAAAGGTAAAGAAGACATACAGGAGTGTGGAAATTATAGAGGCATAAAGCTTATGAATTATAGTATGAAAATTTGGGAAAAGGTAATAGATAAGAGAATAAAAAATGAGACATCGGTATCCAAAAACCAGTATGGATTTAAGCCTGGTAAGTCAACAATGGAGCCATTATTTTGTGTGAGGCAACTAATAGAAAAGTTTAGGGAAAAGATGAAATAGTATTTATAGATTTGGAGAGAGCGTATGACAGAGTACCGAGAGAGGTTTTAAAGTGAGTATTATTGAGAAAAGGAGTCCCGAAAAGGTACATTAATATAATAGAGGATATGTATGATGGCACTTGTACTAGGGTAAAAAGTGTAGGAGAAATAACAGAAGGTTTATTTTTAGTTTAAACGATTACATAATGAGAAAAACTGGAAAAACCCTCAGATAATGTGATATTTTTTTAATTTCACGTGTCTTATTATTTATTCAAACCGATTATAATTTTTATCATTAAAACTGTTATAAAATTATCATTTTTTTTTCTTTTTAGATCGCTCCCAATTTGCTGATACATGTCGAAACCAAAAATAGTCGTACTGTGTTTTAGTATTTTAATACTAGTGGTATTTTTTTTCTCGATTTACTGTCTTTTAAATAAAAAAAAAGAAATACTGTTTATAAGATTAGTTTACTTAAATTTTTATAACAAAAAAGTTGAAAATTTATAACTTTTATTATTTATTCAAACCGATTATAATTTTTATCATTAAAACTTAAAAAATTATCATTTTTTTTCTTTTAGATCGGAAAAATAAAACAATCACAAGATTGAAATGAATATTTTAAACTTTATTAAAATAGGATAATTAGAAATAATTATTATGATGTAATCGGCACACGGGTAAATCCATATCAAATCATCCAAAGTCGTTGCGCGACCACTTTATTTTTTTTTGAAATTTTACACACAAGTTGTCTAGTATATAAGAAGAAAATATTAAAAAAAAAAAATTAAAAAAGTTTTACGAAAATGTATTTATGACTTATCAAAAGTTTTAAATTATGAAATACTTGTAATTCGTAAAAATATCCTTATGATAACAGTATTTATATTTAAGACTTGAAACTTTCATTGTTTTTTTTTTATGTGATACTCTAACATATTCCATAATTACCAACACGTTTTTTAACTTTTAAGTTGGAAAATTTTGTTTTCTAAATTGAGCTTTTTTTTACAAAATAATGTAATTTTCAAAGATCAAATTGACTATGAAAAAACATTTTTTTTTAATTAATTTTTTTTTCTAAATATTAACGTACACTCATAGTAATATGTAATTGTGTTTTGAAACATTTTACTCTTACCGTTTTTTATTGGGACATATTTAAAAATGCTCGAATTTCTAAAAAATCAATTTTTAAGCTTTTTTATTTTAATTTTTCTCTGGTGGAACAAAATATTTTAATATGATTTTTTCACACAATATAGTACTATGTATGTAGTTTCTATGAAAAAAATTTCAAGTTTGATATTTGACCAAAACTTACCAAAAATTAACTTTCAAAAATACGTTTTTTTTTTAAGTTTAAGAAAAATCTTGGTTTTTTGAATACTGAAAACANTTTTTAAGTTTAAGAAAAATCTTGGTTTTTCGAATACTTAAAAAACTTTCTGTATTTCCATTACTTAGTTTTTGTGTCTTTATAGGTATATAAATATATATATGTATAAATTCCTCAATATATTGAGTACATGAAAAATGTATTAATGATCAAATAAAAAAATAAATAAATTATAGATGTAAATTATATTAATTTTTTGTTAGATTTTTCTAGGATATTATTCAAAATTATTTTAAATGAGAAGAATATACCTTATTACACTTGAATAATGATTTGTTGAATGTTCTGCAATTTAATTACGATAACGTCTCTTTTCAACTTTTGTATATACACAATATAATCTAGAAATCGTTCATATTTTTTTTTATCATTTATCATTAAATTACACTAACAGAAATCTTTATATTTATCTTCATATAAACGATTAATTTTTTATCTTTATCATTTTTATATCGTTACCTATTTTACCTATTTGCTCTCTTTAAAGGTAGAATTATAAATAAATGGGTTTAACTTGTATGCCGAGTATAGATGTACTTTATTTAGTTGCT